TCTCGTCTTTCCTGCTGATAAATCAGCGTCGTTTGCTGCCGATTTCTGTGGCACATTTGCCCTGTTTTTTTTTTGTGTTTGTGTAAATTGTGCAAACTCTACATGTATCTTTCGTGGCGCTCTTGATTGACAAGATATTCAGCTGTAAAATGTTGCTTATTTTGTCATGTTCTTATACACTTTTGTCCTTGTCATTGCCTTTATCCATAGAATGCTAGATTCCCGGTGTTATGAGTAATGAACTTTAAATAAGTGTCGAATAAGTTGCATTGACATAGCATCTGAGGTCAAGAAAGGAAATTGTAATAATTCACAATTTCACATTTCAATCATGTGACTGAGGTGAAAGGTGGAACTATCCCCGGTCTACTCTTGGCGCTCGAGAGGAGCTTCTAGACGGGGTTGGTCTCAGGCTTGGAGTAGCTGCAGCTAGACTAAGCAGTAGAAGCAAGAAGCATGGGCTGGGTCCGGTTCTTTGAAAGGATGTGGACATGCGAGACTGGATGGCGAGGACCTCGACCTAAATCACGGACGGTATGGAGTCTCGAACCTGCAATGCGGTAATCTGTGGTTATCTAAGAACTTTGTCTCGAACATGTGTGGTGCGCGCTGTCATAGACATCTCCATGCTGATGATGCTGATGCTGATGAGGTGGTCGGGCTGTCACCTTTGCATCGGTAGCCCTATAAACACAGGTCGGGTGGGAGGGCTTCAGTGGGATAAGCTTAGGATGGTGGTTAAGCCCTTTCCTCGTCACCCGCCTCTGTCACCAGTCACCATCTCCATATCGATTACACAGAAGTCTACGGCGCTGTCTATCCCGGACTTGCCCTTTGACGAATCGTCCGGTCCACTTGACGCATTATATTTTTTTACGATAACAGGTTGTCAATGAGGACAGAGATGTCTGCGCAAAAAATTGCTGCGATTTGCGGAAATTTGGACGTTGTTTTGTTTTAGTGACCTTTACTTGCGCTTATGAATGACAAAGATGGCGCAGAGGTGCCAATAAATGTGTTCGATGTGCGAATCCTGCTGTCGGAAAAATCAACATGAAACCATTTTGAAAGAGCATGTTGAAAGTAGGTTTTTATGTATGGTTTCAATTATCTATGTCAATTATAGTTAAAAGCACGCTATTTTATTTAAAAACAAATTGAAGAATTAATTATAACACAAATCATTGAAATTAAGAGAGTATTTTGATTTGCTGTGCCGCGTTGTGTTTCCTTTCTTGCGCTGAAATTGAACACAGGTTAGGGCAGGCCATTCATTGTTTTATTTTCATTGCTTATTGTTATTATATGCGGAGTGGCACGTTGACGTGGGTTATATTCAAATTTCATGCTTATTTATCGATAGTATTTCTTATAAAAAATAAAGCATGGGTTGGAAAAGCATGCTTGATCACCCCTCCTATCAAGTAGCATTGGCATTGGTATAGTTTGTCATGCACTGGCTGTTGGTAAATGGTATAAATGGTACCTAGTTGCATGGGTGAAGAATAAGGGGTTTTGACCTTTGACACCCCCTGAAATTCAAAAGTCAACATTTAATAGTGCTCCAGGGGTGCTATAATTATAGCTGAGACCCAAACTGCTTTGCGTAAGTCGAGAGGAGATTGATGCTGCCTGGGAAAACGTGCCTATATTTGCTTTTTATGCAATAATTTGAATTTGACTTCCAGTTCCATTCGCCAGGTGCTAGAAAAGCACTGCTGGAGATCATGACAAAAGTCAATTATCCGCCCCTGCCTAGTTGATAGCCAAATTGCAAATTGTGACATTGGGTCGACAAGACGCACAATCAGACCACACAAATGCTGGTAAAGTGAGGTAAAATGCTCATGCTCATGTGGAACAAAGCTTGAGCTCATGTGGAAAAAAGCCTCAGCCTAGAACTTATGGTATTTATATACATAAGGTCCGATCGCCAAAGTTATTATAACAAACATACCACACGATGTATTTTGGCCTCCTGATTTCATATCTGATAGTTATTCATGGCGCAACCAAGTTTTAAAGCACCTGTAAAATATTTACCGTCACCACCGGCCACTACCGCACTCCACCAGCCGTTTGCGCCACGTGGAAAGGATCGAATGAATAAACTCCAAGGTTGAGTTAAAACATTAGGCTATTCGATTTTATGAAAGTGACGTCATAATAATACTCGTGGCGGAGCAGTGCAGTGCCGAAGGCGATGCCTTAGGAGAGATTACAGGCAAGAGTAAATCAAATATTTTTAGGTTAAGTGGTCATGCATCAGGCTTCAGGCCCTTCGGCCTGAAGCCTGATGCATGACCACTTAACCTAAAAATATTTGATTTACTCTTGCCTGCAATCTATTCCTGCAAGTAACTTTTTCCTTATCCCCGGTAGGCAAAAATCAGTAGGTTAGGTTAGGTTAGGTTAGGTTAGTTTATGATTTTTACCATTTTTTTCGTGTTTTGTTATTTTGACGTCACTTTCATTGATTATCGTATTTGATTCCCTCCCCACCCATAAACCCCGGTTCCCAACATTTCCCCGAAAATAGCAGCAAAAAAACTTCACATGGCAGCGCTGAAACGGCGGCGTTTTTCTCTCGTCGCATTCATTCGCGTCGTCGGTGCGTGCACGTGGGTATGCATCGTGTTATGAAGGGGTGTAACAGGTTGTTATTTTTGTGTTTTTTGATTTTTCCGCCGCACGTAAGTATGATATCTGAATTCAGAATGTCAAATAATGTAAGAATATGCAAAATTTATGTTTGAACAGTCGATCGGACCTTATGTAAATATTTACCGAACTTATTTGTCAGAACTTGAGCTACTTTGTGGGTAGGTGATTGGTTTGTGGACAGCACAAGTAGAACTTGCAATCCAGACGAAAAATATATGTTACCTTGACTTCAACATGTCTGGCACAACAGTGAACAGGCAGATTGTGTTGAAATTTTGGTGCACAGATGATAAACTAAATTTTGGCACATGCAGACGATACCTACCTACTGAGTTCTATAGCCTTGGACGATACAAGGACTTTTGGCGCAAGATGACAAGATGTAACCTTAGCCAACTTCACTGATCACTCCCTGCACTCTACATTCAAATTGAGTAGGTACCTACTCACCTATCCCGGGGTTTACATCTGTGACAGCCCTCGGTGCATCTGCATTCTGCAGTGATGACACTGTTTCAGTGGGTACTGTTTCACGGATGCCGCTACCACGCTGCCTGGCTGCCAGAGCATTTTGTGAGCTGATGTCATAGGTTGTGGTAAAGTCACTGATCACTCAGTTTTGGAAATTGGAGCGTCCAAGTTTGTTGATATTTCCATGAAAACTGAATGTGCCATGTGTGCTAGCAGTGGCTATGAAACCCCAGTAAACATGCCGACGTCGGCCCGACGTCGGGCCGAGGCTCGGCCCGACGTCGGCCCAACGTCGGTTCAACCTCGGCCCGACATCGGCTGGACGTCGGATATGCCCGCATGTTCCGACGTCCAGCCGAAGTCCAGCCGACGTCGAGCCGACGTCGGGCCGAGATCGTTTGCCGAGGTTGACGAGATCGTTTGTCGTTGGACCGACGGGGCCGACGTCGGCATGTTTATTGGGACAACGCGCCAAAAATATCGACCGGCGGCGGGATTCGAGCCCCCCAGTCGCCGACGTCGGCATGTTGACTGGGACAACACGCCAAAAGCATCAGCCGGCGATGTGATTCGAACCCATGTCATTCGAACGCGAGGTTAGTGCGCTAACCAATACACCAGCGAGGTTAGTGCGCTAACCACTACACGGTGACTATTTATAGTCACCGTGCACTACACCACACAACCAGCTGACGACTATGGTTTGTTTTGTTGTGTTATGCCCTTTCGGTCTGACAAGACCATTTCAGAGCCGGAAGGATCATAGGATGGAGACATTGGTCTTCTTGGCGAGCACCCTGGGTCCAGTTCATATAGAGTCCCTGGTCCCATTGCTGTTACGTGACACTTATTGGAAAGGGCGACCCCACAATTGATTCATATAGCCACTCTTACACACCTGCACCAACGTTTCCCAAAGTGTCCCTTTGATAAGTGGCACTTTGGCAAAGTGACACTTGCCGACTGGCCTTTCTATATGAACTGGGCCCGGCCCTGGTGAGTTGCCGGGGCTGACAGGGGCGCGGGAACTACTTTCCGACTGGGGGGGGGGGGGGGGGAAGGGGCACACCATAATAGAGATTAACCTAGGGTACCCCCAAATCTAGTTTTCTCACCGGTTTTAGGCCACTTATTTTTCACCCCTCGGCTTTTTCAACAAAAAAAAAGAAAACATTTGCAAAAAAAAGTGTGGTATTCCGTCTCAAAGCTGTGGGGGCACCGCCCCCACGGCCCCAGAGTTGGGGGGGCAAGCTGCCCCCACTGCCCCCCCCCCCCCCCCGGCTCCCGCGCCTATGGCTGAGCCTGACCAAAGGATAGGCCGAGCAGCCCCCAAGCACTCACCAGTCACCGCACCCGGCTACGGGCGAGCTCGGCTTACGGGCAATCCCAAATGGGATAAAGTTTCCCGTCCAGTCCGGATCAGGGGGTTGCGGCGTGGAGGAAGATTTGAGTTTCCTGAGGATATTTTGAATACAGAAGCTCTTCATGAAACATGAAACATGTATTTTATATTATTTCAACGGTCAAAACAGCGGCCGATGTCGGTCCGACGTCGCCCCGACGTCGGCCCGACATTGGCTGGACCTCAGCAATTGATCTCGGTCCGACGTCGGCCCGACGTCGGCTGGACCTCGGCTGGACGTCGGAACATGCGGGCATATCCGACATCCAGCCGACGTCGTGCCGAGGTTGGACCGACGTCGGGCCGACGTCGGCATGCCGATGCCGAGTTGCCGACGTCACCCCGACGTCGGCCGACGTCGGGCCGACGTCGGCATGTTTATTGGGACACCACCCTGAGCTTGTTAAAATTGCCATGATTTGCATTCTAGCTTAGTAGGTACCTGGTGTTTTTTTTTTCATTTGGAGCTGATGCTGATTTTGAGAAAGTTTGCATTCTAGCATTACCATTTTAACCACTATCTTTTTCCAGGCAAATTTTGGAGCAGAATGATACTGTTTATTGCAGTTTTAGAGCATATGGAAGAGATATTGCTTTTTGTGGCGACCAGTTCAACATCTTTCAGTGATCTTCAAGCATCCTGAGTTAGCTGTTTGATGCTCCTCAATCGTCATCTTCTGGCCAGTGCAGTTGAGGGGAGCTCAGTGCAGCTGCAGGCACCATGGGCTGCCGGGTACAGCTGTCACGCTGTGTGCACGTGATACGCGTCTCGCACCTGACAGCCTTCGTGCTGGTTTACGTGCTCATCTTTCTGGTGGCGAATGTGGTGGTGCTGAAGGCCTACTGGGAGCAGCGGCAGCGCGAGCTGGAGGAGCAGCGCCAGTGGCGTCAGCTGGCCGCCCAGCCGGTGAGGAAGCCGCTCGGAGGCGCCGAGGCGTTCCTGCAGCGCCTGCAGAACTCGGTGCGCGGCAGCCGCCGGCCGGCGGTGTTCACGTGCGCCGACTTCCCCACGCTGGCCGTGGGCCGCCGGCTCGGCTTCGGCTGGAGCAAGGAGGTGTTCGAGGCGACGTACGGGGGCCGCTCGGCGGCCGTGAAGACGGTCAATGTGGAGGGCAGGGACATGCGGCTGTGCCGGGAGGCGGGCGCCAACTACACCGAGTGTTACCGGCGTACGGCCGACAAACTGTTCAGAGAGGTGAAGCTGCTGCACCAGCTCCGGCACCCGGCCATCGTGGAGGTGAGGGCTGGGTAAATCGGTGTTCTCTCATTCATTTTCATTTATTTTGTTACGACTCAATGGCTCTATTCAGTTTAAGCCTGTAACGCCAAATGGCCTCCGTCGCCGATTCGTCCTGAAACCCAAACCCAAACCCCAGTTTAAGCCTGTATGCATTACATTCATTTGTTCATTATCCCTGTCAGTATGTGCAGCTGTTATTGTCATTGGCTCAGACCCGGCACCCGTACGGGTTCTTTCGCTGCTCGCTGGTAACCGTCTCTAGCATTGACCCATCCACCGCCGGCAGCTGTACGGGTTCTGCCTGTCGCTGGGCCGCGGCGAGAACAGCGTCGTTGCCGTGGTAACGGAGCTCGGCGAGCCTCTCAGTCAGCTGGCGCTGCTGCAGCTGTCCTGGGAGCGGCGGCTGCGGCTGGCGCTCGACGCCGCCGGGCTGCTCGCCTACCTGGCCGTGTCGCCGCTCGGGCCGGCCGCGCTCTCCGACCTGCGCCTGGAGCAGTTCCTGCTCAGCGGCGGCCGGCTCAAGCTGACCGACCTGGACGACCTGCAGCTGGGCGAGCCGCGCTGCACCGGACCGGACGTGTGCCTGCTGCCGCCGCCCGCGGCCGCCTCCGCCGCACTGACTCGCTGCACGGCCGGCAGATGTCAGGTCAGACATGGCGCTCGGACGGGACGGGATATCGGCGCGCCCTTAAGTCCCAATAAATAAACAAACGGGACGGATATTTAGCAGACTGTGTAGTGTGACCTTTGTGTAGATTGTAGTGATATTCGACCACACTTGTCCCCTAAAAAAGAAAGTGGTGGTAAGTTCTTCCTTCTTTTTCGTTTTGTTTCGGGATTACGGGGTCTGTAACTGTTTTAGGTTTATCGAGACATTTTATTTCAGTTATTCAACCCGAAGCTCTCAGTTTCACTAGCTTGATATCGGACTTTCACCACCCAATGCTATTCTGTCCAGCGTGCCGTCATACTACATCTCTCCTCCCCTGTTCACCACCGTCCCCTCCCCATCACAGGGCTACAACGCGCGGCGGAACCAGGCGCTGGCCGGGGAGCGTCTGTTCGGCCCGCTGCTGCTGCAGGGGGTGCCCGCCCCGCTGAACGCCAGCGTCACTGCACTGCTGGCCTCGTGCTCGGCGGCCCAGCTGAGTCCGACGGAGCTGAGCGGGCGCGCCACGGAGCTGCTAAAGCTGTTCCAGAGGCACGGCTATGGTGTCACTGACACCGGCTCAGGTACGTGTAATTGGATACGAGTAATTACGGAGCGAGCGAAGCGAGCGTAGTCTTTCCTTAGATTAACGGAAATTTCTGAGTATGAGCGGCCGGCCGGCCGGCCGTGGTCACGCTTTTGCGAGGCTTATATCTCAGCAACCACTTGACCGATTTACACGCGGTAATTTTTGTAGGGTAGCTTCATTCCTTCTACCACGGAGGACAAACCATACAACAAGAAAACAATCACAAACACCTTGGAGTCATCTTTTCAACTGACAACCGTTTTCACGCGCATATAAACTCGATTATAAAAAAGGTCAACATTGCTTTGAGTCCACTTTACCCAATAGCCCGGATGACACCGAGAGAAGTCCTTAAACAAATTTACACAACATATATACTGCCACACTTCGACTACTGCGACGTGATATACGACGGACAAATAACAGTCACCGACGAAATCAGACTTGAAAGAACGCAAAACAGGGTAGCGAGACTAGTGACTGGTACAGACTTACGGACACCAACGGACGGACTCAGACGGGAACTAGGATGGACAAAAGTAAAGACCAGACGTACCAAACACAAACTCATATTCTACAAAAAACTCTTACACGAACAAGAAACAATGCCCACCTACATAACAACTATGCTTCCCGACCTTAGACAAAATGCAACAAACCGGACATTACGCAACTCAAACACTCATACATTACCAATCCATCGAACCCTATCCTTTAAAAGATCCTTCATCCCAGACACGACCAGACTATGGAACAACCTTCCCGAATCAATCCGCTCTCTTCCTACCCTCAAATCATTTAAAGCAGCTCTCGAGCAACACCTAGGCACTGAAAAACCACCTCCATATCTCGCCTTCGGAAGCCGAGAAGGCAATCGTTTACACACCCAACTACGCCTCAATATGTCCATCCTGAACGCTCACCAATATAAAATCAAAAAATGTCCCACTCCCCACTGCGCTTGCGGCTATCACTCAGAAGATACACCACACTTCATACTTAGATGCCCACTCTACCAACAACACCGAACACAGCTATTCACAATCATATCAACCACTCTAGGACACGAATTCACAACACTAGATCATCAAACACAGTTAGACACACTACTGTATGGTGAGGGCCTCGACACCGGCAGCGGCCTCAGAGTTGCCTCTGAGTTCCAAAAATTTATCTTCAGTACAAGACGGTTCAACAATTAAATCGTCCCCAGACCAGCCAGTGGCACAACAAAAAAGTAATCACTCGCATCAGTAATAACATCCATCATTAACACATCCGGTGGTGTTCTTTCCTTTCTGTTGTATGTGCTGTATGTTTTGTTCAAGCTCGACTTCAGCTTCGTTCGTTTTTTTTTTCTCAGGATAGGTGCCTTAATTTAAGCCGGTAGGCTTCTGCACCGATCCTTTGTGTCACTGATTTCTGATGTTTTCTATTTCTTACTTACTTCCCATGTGACGTAAAAAATATATGATGATGATGATGATGACCAAGTATTGGGCTATTCCCGATGCATGTGGGTGACCCCTTATGCATGTGCCACGTGCAAAACGAAGAGGTGTCACTTTTGTAATTGTTGCAATATCTCGGTAACTACTGGGCCGATTGCGCTGAAAGTTGGCATGTAGGTAGGCACTCACTAGGCAATGCATATCCATGTGCCAGAGTTGGGGTGCTGCTGCACGTGCGCACGTGCAGGGGTCGATTCCAGATCTCGAGAACGGCTGGACCGATGGCGCTCAAATTTGGTACATGGCTAAGGACCGGTTAGTAGGGTGCCGTGCAAAAGTCAGTTGGGACCCATTTTGCACGTGCGCACGTGCAGGGTGCCGCTTCCAGATCTCGAGAACGGCTGGACCGATTGTGCTCAAATTTGGCACATCGCTAGAGACCGGTTAGTAGGGTGCCGTGCACAAGTCAGCTGGAGGTACCCCCTCGAAATTTCGCACGTGCAAGGCTCACCCTCTCGCTCGCTCCGTTAATCGCCCCAAAAGGCGTTATACTGGTTGTACGAATGTGTCATATAATATGTCATATAGATAACACTGTCACACCGTACTGATCTGGTACTCTGCATCTGATTCTACAGCCGTGCTTCTGCCATGTGTTTCGTTTTTAACAGTGGACGATATTGTATAAAGCCCACACCTTCACCCTTTGCCGTTCTCTGCGATAGACGACGCGGGACCAATCCCACCTCTTGACCCTCCATCAGTATCAGCTGTGTAAGAGGTAACACCAAACGCTCCCCTAACTCTACTCGCCTCCATCCCCAGCCGTGTACGAGGCGGTACCGAACGCCACTCTGCCGGGCCACAACTACCGGTGCGCGCAGTCGTCGGAGCTGGGCCGCTGCTGGCTGTCGGTGTCCGGTCCGCGCGAGGCGTCGGCGCTCTGCTCGGCCGACCGGCGCTGCGAGGGATACGTGATCACTAATGTCACCACTTGGACCGGTGAGGGAACGGGGGGGGGGGGGTGAAATGGTCATGGGAAGGGCCAGTGGAGGTGACGGGACAGAGAGGCCCGTAACACTAACGGAATGTGCTGTAATGGAATCAGACTTGTGCCGGGACCAAAAATCAAGATCCAGGATCCTCAAGGTCCCACGGCAAATTCAATTTTTAGAATCCAAGGTTTCCAAGGTCCAACGGCAAATTCAATTTCTAGAATCCAAGGTTTCCAAGGTCCCACGGCAAATTCAATTTCTAGAATCAAGGTTTCCAAGGTCCCACGGCAAATTAAATTTCTAGAATCCAAGGTTTCCAAGGTCCCACGGCAAATTCAATTTCTAGAATCCAAGGTTTCCAAGGTCCCATAGCAAGTATACTTTGCAGGGTCCACAGTCCCCAAGGTCCCACGACAAGAATGCATTGCAGGATCAAAAGTCCCCAAGGTCCCACGACAAGAATGCATTGCAGGATCCACAGTCCCTAGGGTCCCACGACAAGTGTGAATTTCAGGATCCACAGTCCCCAAGGTCCCATGTGACAAGTACACACTTCAGAGTTCAGGGTCCACAGTCCTCAAGGTCCCACGGCAAGAATACATCTCAGGATCCAAAGTATTCAGGGTCCCACAACAAGAACTTAAACAAACTAACATTCTGATGAGCAGACTTACTTCTAAATATTCTGCCAATGGATGCCCAGCAACATTTAAAGGGGCAGAACCTACGCAAACCTGTGGACTGTGGTGGTTTTATCGTTAACCAACATAGGTAGGGGGAGCTTCAACACAAGTTAAAAATGAATCATAATATCAATCTCTCCTTCTTTAACCTGACAAATTCGTAAAAAAATATAGGTAGGTAATAGGTACCTTGCAATTTGTATTGTCATGTCCCTTTCAATTCAATCTTACCTTATCAGTAGGAATGTAGGATAGCACCTTACAGTTATTGAAGACAGACATTCAAGTATTCTTTCAGGCAATATAAAAAAAAACAGAAATAAAACCTACAGGCTTCATAGAAATGGAAAAGTTGAATTGGATAGGTATATGCTTTCGATTTTCTGCACGTTCAGACCAGCAGTTACATAATACCTAGGATAAAAAGTAAAATATGTTCTAAGTCTTGTTTGCGCGAGCGCTCACAGAAAAACTGATCGACTAAGCCAATAGAATTAGAGTATCAGCGAGCGCAAACCTTACTTACTGTTCATTCACATTAAATTGAAGGCTCTGAACAAAATTCCATCTGACAATTTTTTCGTCAGCCGGTTATTCGTCGGCAGATTTTCGTCTGACTTTTTCGTCTGACTTTTTCGTCTTGCATTTTTTCGTCTGTTCGAATTAATTTGGTGCATTTTTTGTCTGAGTATTTTTCTGTCCGGCATTTTTTCGTCTGGACGAGGCGGAAAATGTCCTTATGAAAATAATGCGCGGACTAAAAAATGCACAGACGAACAAATGCATAGACGAAAGGGCTCTCTCTATCGTCTGGAGGTTTCGAAAGATGCTCTCCAGAGATGGCGCTAGTAAGTTTGGCTGACATGACGTCATGCTTAAAAGTGATGGGTTTTGTGAGAGCAAATGTAATAATAGTTGAAAATTTTGTACTTTTGCTTAATTGAGAAAAAATAAATATACAATTGTTCAAAACAACGTTTTTCTCATTCATTCTTCATTGTTTCAAGAGGAATATAGACAGTTTAAATCTTTTTTCTTGACCGCAATTCGCACACGCACTAAATTAAAAGCTGGAGTTTTGTGCGTTCGTAAATTGTGATTTGAGAAAATAAGTTGTCAATAATCTTTTGCACTTTTGCTTTACAATCATTTTTCAATGCTGATAAATGCATAAATTATTCGAAAATAGGCATATCTTTGAAATATTATGATTTTCCACATGCAAATTTTTCCAAAAACTTGAACTACTTACAACTGACGAACGCATCCAATAATCTGGATGTCTTAGGATGAGTTCGTCATTTTTTCCCAAGGAAATACGATACAGTTTAAGCTACTTTACCGATTTATTAGGGTACTTTTGCCAATGAATTAATAAATAAATGACAACAATTAATCTCATTATCAACCATACTCGGAAGAATTTTCTTCGCATAAGCGCGAACACATCCGCGCTTTCATGAAAAGTAACGCCTGTAGATGTCAGGACTGTTGCTTTATGTTTCGCAAGGTGGCGCAGCGCGCAGGGTACCGACTACCGAGGCTGAGGTCTCCAGACTCTCCACCACGATTTAGCTTGGAAATGGCCAATGGGGAAGGTCTCACCCAAAAAACGGACGCCCTTTTACACAGCTGCATAACGAGAATGAATTATTGGCATAGCTGACCATACGTCCCCTCCCCCTCTCCGCCCCAGCTCAATTGGAAATATCGCCTATTTTCCTTAGTCAGTTATATTCTGACTAATTTCTCACTCTTCCCAGTAAACCTTAACATGCATGATGCAGATGTCCACTGCGTAAGTCGTGTGCTTGCGTAAGTGTGCCAACTATATAGTGCTGCCTACACTCTACAGTGCGTACTGCTTCCACCATTGTCGTTATAATTGGTGATTCTCAGGTCAAAAGTTACACAGTGGTCTCCTCAGAGAACAATCGTTTCAACAAATTAACGATTCAAACCGTTGCATTCTACTTACCGGGTGTTGCAGCTAAATTGGGACAAAGTTCGTAACCTAATCACAATTTTGTTATTTGGAGGATATGGCTGAAAATTTGACATGATACTATTTCAACAATGCTCTTTCACGTGCTAATATTTTTGATGCACGAAAACCGATAACAGTCATGGAGGAACAGCGTAGATGTACAGTTGCTGAATTAGTTCGCGCTGGACAAAGCGCGAAAGAGATCGTTATCGCAACAGGATACCCGAAGTCTACGGTATATCGCACTGTCGCTACTATGGACGGTGGAGGAGATGTCAGTAGACGTCCCCATGCGCCGCGAAGTGACCGCAAACGGAATCCTCGGTTTCTCGCGGGCTTGAAAAGGTCTATTGAGGCCAAACCAGGTGTCTCAATGCGTAAGCTAGCGCGAGACCGAAGGGTGAGCAAAAGCACCATTAGCAGGGCTGTCAAGGAGAACCTCGGGATGAGGTCGTATAGTAGGAAACGGCAGAACCTTCTGACGGAGCGTCTAAAAGCGTTACGGAAGGAGAGGGTCCCGATGGTTCTGAACCAGCTCAAGAACCATGGAGGAGACGTGAGAGTCTTTGTGGACGAAAAGAAGTTTGTGGTAGACGAAGTTGCCAACCGCCGGAACTCAAGAGTCATCGCCTCGAACCCCGGTGATGTTCCACCAGTGATGATAAGCAAAAATCCAGCCTCTGTGATGGTGTTCGGAGCCGTCGCGAGCGACGGTCGCGTCATGCCCCCTCACTTCATACCTGCTGGAGAAAGAATCGGCGCAGAGGAGTATCTGGCCATCCTAGAAGAAGTGCTTTTGCCCTGGATGGCGAAGTACTACGACCTGAAGAAAGTCACACTTGTACAGGACTCGGCTCCAGCTCATGCTTCCCGGAGGGTGCAGGATTTCCTTAGTCGGAAGATCCCTCTGTATGTCCCAAAGGATACGTGGCCTCCAAACTCACCCGACCTAAATCCGTGCGACTTTTGGATGTGGAGCGCGATTGAGGAGAGGTCCAACGCACGTGCCCATGACAGCATCTCGAGCCTCAAGAAGTCCATCAAGAAGGCAGCCAGCAGCATCGATCCTATGGAGGCTCAGCGCGCGTGCGGCGCGTTCCGACGCCGCCTGGAGATGGTGAAGGAGGCTCATGGTGGCCACATTGAGTGAGAGGGTAGAGAACATGTGCGTCAATACACGTTCAAAGTTTGAAAGCTCTGTCTCTTCATTCTACTGAGTTATGCCACTTTAAGTGTAAGCGGGAAAAATTCCCAATTTAGCTGCAACACCCTGTATATTCCGGTCAGTTCTGCTACTAAACGATTCCGGCAAAACACTCTTTAGCATGGGTGTCGATTTGTATACTTTTGGGGGTGCTGCAGCACCCCCAATGCTCAAATGAGCACCCCCAATGGTTTTCCGGGCACCCCCAATGATTTTGTCCCTCAATAACTCCCACTAACTCTGCTTGAGGAAAATAATTGTTCTGCAGTCTTTCACTACAAAAAAATAAAACAATTACGCAATTTACAAGGCATGAAATAAAGATGTAAAGAAAAGAAAAGTTAGTTTTAAGAAGAAGGGCGAAAAAAGACGTTAAATTGCAAAGACACTTGTGTGGGTCCGTCGTACACGGGTGTCGGACTCTTAGAGCTGCTGGTGCGTACCCTTTACAAGCCGGCAGGGGGCTCCAGAGACCGGCGACGGGCCCTCAGGGGCCGGCAAAGGGCCATCAGAGGCCGGTGGTACCTTCAGAAATCCTGTGGAGTCGTCTTTAGAGACCGGAACGGACTCAGACGCCGATGGGGCCCTCAGAGTCGCCGGTGTGGGGCCTTCAAATGTCACCGGTGGCAGGGTGGCCGTCACATGCGCACTAGTGGGGCCTTCAGAAGCTACGATGCTGGGCCCTCAGAGCCGCCGATATAGGGCCTTAAGAGGCACTAGTGTGGGGCCCTCAGATATGGCAATGTGGGGCCCTCGGACTGGAGGCGCCGGTGTGGGGGCTTCGCAGTCGCCGGTGACGGCCCTCACAGGCGCCGTTGTGGGGGCTCTCAGAGACACTGGTTTAGGGCCATCACAGGCGCGCGTGGGGCCCTCAGAACTGCTGTTACGGAACGGACCCTTCATAGGCCGACAAAAAGATATCAAGAGGTCACCGGTGCCTTCAGGAGCCTTGTGGGGTTCTCAGAGACTGGCATGGTGCGCTCAGACGCCGCTGGGACCCTCCGAGTCACCTGTGTCAGCCGTCAGGGTCGCTGGTAACTGACAATGGCCCTCAGAACCGCCCATGTAGGGTTTTAAAGGCATTGGTGTAGGGCCTCAGAGTTAGGGGTGTGGGGCCCTCAGGGACGCCGGTGTGGCGCTCAGGGGCGCCGGTGAGGGCTCTTACAGTCGCCGTTATATGGGCCCTCAGAGAAATGGGTGTGCGGGGCCATTATAGGCGGGTGTGCAGCTCCTAGAGCTGGCCCCCTATAGGCCGGTTAAGACCCCCAGAGGCCGGCAAGTGGCCCTCAGAGGCTGGCTTGGGGCCCTTATGGAGATCTTAATGTTGGTACTTGTGGGCCCATGAGGTGTTCTTACGAGCCCTGTGGGGCCCTTCTGAGTCTAAATATAGCCAACGTGGACCCTCAGCGGCCAATTGGCGCCGCAGGGCCCCTCAGGCCCGAATAACCCGATGGGCCCCTGAACCTGATGGGGGGGGGGGGGAATCCCGTGATTATCAGTACCTTATGGGGATACCCAACCATGCCTTGCACGGTTGTGCCCCATGGCAAAGCTGCAATCTTTCACCCGGTGCAGGGGTTGAGCACCCCCAACTATTTTGAAAAATCGACACCCCTGCTCTTTAGGTTATGTATTACCGAACCATCACACAAAATTCGCCCAATCAATGGTCACTGGTCAGTTATTACTGCTGAGCTGAACCGTCATACGCTATACATATAGCCTATTGCAGTCAATATTTTCAGAACGATACCGACTGACGGAACACAACGTATTCGCGGATTCGTACAAACGTTGGCACCCAGGTGGCCTGTCAGCAGCCGCACAAATTGAGACGGTACACCGTAAAGTCCACACAGGCACAAGCACAGGGATACAAATTCTCAAAATCCAAACTTATTCCAATACTGGTCAAATACTAATAGGCATAAAGTTTTGAGGTTTTCTCATGTTCATTCTTCTTTCAACACACGCGGCAGACTGCAGCAGAACATCTCACAGAGCTGCGCTGGATGCAGTCATGAGCTGGGACACGGTTTGTGACCAATGACCGATCGGGGGTGCCAGCCTCCTCCCGGCACGCGATGCACTGGCCGCCGCGCAGTCGATGTCGGGGCACCGCCGGCATTCGCCGATAGGGTTCCATCCGATTCGGTGTATTGGTGGCAGCCCGAACAGTGACCCACGCGAAGCTGGTGGACGTCGATGGCCGATGAGCGATGCCCTTCCGCGACCGGCGGTGGCAGTCGGTCCCACATCAAGAACAGATACCAGTCATGCGGTCAGTCGGCGACGGCGCGGTCGCGAGCCGATCTGATGGTCGCGCGGTGGGCGTTGCCGACGTCCACCGGGACCGTCGACTGGGGGAGCGCGGCCGCCTCTTGGCCGCCGCCTCTCGTCGGCGCGCTCGTTGCGCTGTGGGACGGCATCCACTGCAAGTCGTTCACTGTGAAGCGGTCGTTTGACCGGGCCTGGCAGGCGGGGAAAGCGGGCCTCAGATGAAGTAAAACCATCCCTCAGGCCAGCTTGAGCTGGCTCTCCACCTCACCATGTCAGATAAGCGGACACCCTCGTGATCATCGCAGCGATGATTGTCAATTGGTGTGTCATTATGGGGGAGGATGCCAGCCTCCTTTGCAAGATAGTCTGCCTTTAATATAGTGCAGCCCGACCCATTGCCTGTGGCAGCAGACTGGGCTTGATAATGCAGTGCAGGACACACCAAACGTAAGCGGCCATCTTGTACCCCCTGTGCAGTAAGGCTGACTCAAGAGCCCAGAGTTGCCCTTCCCCCCACCATTCTGTGCACGTGATAACTGGATGGGACATGCCATGGTCAGCATCTGTTCAAAAGCTGCCCTAAGCATGTAAAGCTCCACTGGCATGCTCGAGCATGGTCACAGACAGTTCTCACTTCCCAGTTGAACCTCCAATGGAAACCCATCACAAAGTAGAGATCAGGGCGCCTCTCACACTGCAGCACACTCAACGACTGAGGCACCATCTCATCACTTGCAGGTGGTTCTTGCCAGGAGCAATGCCAGCCACGCACATCAGGTGATAACAGCAGTGTATGTACAACTGCAATCTACAAGCATCCATGTTCTTTCTGGTTTTCTCCTGTTGAGATCCACTGCCATGCAATATGCATGAACTTGATGGGCTTTTGTTGCGCTCCTCCCATGTGCAGACATGTTTCTGCTGAAACAAAGCAAAGCAAATGTGATTAATAATGGCCCTGTTTCACCATCCAGACACTGTGTGCACTGGTAGCTACGGCATACCATAGCATCACTCAAATGACGTTGCATGTGATCTCTTAGTTTATGATGAATCACATTTGGAACAGAGTGAGAGGTTCTGAAAAACCGTACCAAGAACAGAGGTTTGAGTTCAAATACTGCTAGCATGCTGCTGGTGCTGGTACCGCAGCGTGCTAGCGTTCTGGGATGCTGTCATAGCTTAGCGTCACAGTGAAGTTTGTTGACACTGCCATGGAAACCCAATGCTCTGACACACGCAGCACACTGCAGTGCTCTCACTCTGCCGTGAAACACCATCCATGAACGTTGGTTGCATGACCAGGATCGGAGCAGTGTGGCAGACAGTGATTTTAATTTTAATTGCACTTCCTAGAGATTAACAAGTTGTTGGTGAAATTGCTATTCATTATTCCTATTACCCATTGTCTAAATTTCACATTTCAAGACAGCATCAGCATGTACATGTTATATAAAATAAGGTTTAGACTTCAGGTGGTCCCGGGTTCAGCTATTATGTAGAACAAGGGCAAAAAATTGTCAAAAAAAATATTTAAAAAAAATACCTGCCTTCATCAACACCTCATCTAATCACATATCTCAATACAATCAAACACAGATGGGTTAAACAACACAAGCCCTAACCGTTTGAATAACAATGCAATATTTTGCAACCGCTGCACCATTACTGTCACGTACGCTATCCCTAGATTGGTTGCTGGTAAGTAGTGGTTGTCGTCATCAACTCGTCATGCAGCAGCTGATTGGGATGGGCGGGGCCTATTTTTATCCAGACGATAGAGAGAGCCGACGAAAGTCTGCGGACGAAAATCTGCAGACGAAAAATTGTCCGACGAAAACCTGCTAAACGAAAAAGTTGAACTGTCATGGAATGATTGCTTATATTGCTCATTGCTCAATGGTGATTTGATGAATTGCAAAACAAATAAGTTTGACACTTACTTGGTCAGTGGGTAGCTTCCAAGTAGCTTCAAGCCCGGCATATCACAACCCAGAAAATATGTGAGGTGAGATTAGAAAAGAACTTTCCAAACCACCACTGTCCACTGTTTGACAGTTTCATAATCCATAACATTGATAATGTAAAAAGCTACCAGGTCTCTTGTTCCAGTTCTGCCTCACAACCATGGCAATGATTTTGCTCTCTATATATGTCTACACAGTCTGGTTCGTTTTCTCTTCGTGTAGCTATCTAGCCCCTGGCAGCTGGTCGCTCAACCATAGATATTTATTGAAGTGCTTACAGACAAAACCTAGTGCAGGGTCCTTAGTGGCCCATGTGCAACATAAACCTCATGGTCCAGCTTCCAGGATTCTTGAGGTCCCTCAACAAAATGGTGGTGTAGGTCCAGACCGTTCTCCTAAGATCCCATGACAAATAATAAAACTGGTACTGAAGGTAGGCATTCTGCAGGGTCTTGCAGCATACCAAAATTTTGAGGTCCTAACCCCTGGGTTTCCATGGTTTTATGGCATATGAAATATTGAGGTCCTGGGTTTCTAAGGTCTCATGTCACATGAAATGTTGATGTCCTGGGATTCCAAGGTCTCACGGCATATGCAAATGTTGAGGTCCTGGGATTCCAAGGTCTCGCGACATATGCAAATGTTGAGGTCCTGGGATTCCAAGGTCTTGCGGCATATGGATGTTTTAAGGTCCTGGGATTCCAAGGTCTCGCGGCATATGGATGTTTTAAGGTCCTGGGTTTCCAAGGTCTCGCGACAAAAATGACAATGCAAGGTCCAGGATCCATCAAGGTCCCAGACCTTGGACTCTGCGAACCCTGGATCTCGGATCTTTTTGGGACCTTGGCACAAGTCTGAATGGAATGTGCTCTGTAGTAAGTCTAGATACCTGGGGAGCTGGGGGTATTGGAATATTGTTAGCTAGTTGAGGTTCCCAGTTGTGCGGTAGTAAATGTAGCGATCTGATTGCCTTCACTCATGATCTGATGCTCATCGGGTTGACTCAAACACATTATTTAGTGGCCCATGATGCATCCACCAAGACAGCTGAAATCGCCATGGCACAGTGCAGTCTTTCACTGGCCATATGCTGAATGATCATCTGGTTCCCTCACAGGTCGCCTGATGACCCACTTCAAGACACGGATCGTGACCGGAGAGGTAGTGCCCGAGTTCAACTCGACGCTCTATATTCGGCAGTCGGTGAGGTGACGCCCCTGCCTGCCATCTCGTGACAAATATTCAGACCTGAACTGTGCCAAACGGACACGCCGGCCTTGCGGCTGAATCCTGTGCCAGGCGACTCTTCCGCAGCCTGTGCATCGTGGGTGATATTGCATTCAGCCGTGGCTCGGCTCAGTTTTGTAAATAAGTGAGATTTATGTAGCTTTATGGCAGCTGTTAGGCCGTATAACGCCAGTTACAGGGTTTGTGTGATACTGATGGTACTCCTTTAGTGTATTCAGACGTCGCCTTTACGCTAACCAGACAAGGTCGGGGCTGGTTTATATTTTTAGATTTACACCAGTGTTCATATCCAGTATGTGTATGAAGTGTAACCCTCATCTGACACAAATATGTAGCGATGACGTCAATAAAGTGACACTGAACATCAGCAATACGCTGCGCTTACTGCACGTGCATGACTGCCACCCAGGGGTCCGGTGAGGGCACTGCAATCAGCACAGTAATGTCGCGCGTCCGCAGCCGCGCGATCGAAAACGCCAGCCGCCATAGTCCTTCAGTGTATGAGTGGGCGGCACGCATGGGCGCGGCAACACGGTGCTCAATACAAAACACAGCATATCTCGCGCCATGATCCTACAGCACGGCCCGCTGATATCCTGCTAAGACTGCGGTGGACAGTAGCCGCTCGCAGTATTAGCGACAATAGGCCGTGCTTCAAGGATAGGCCCTGTTGTGGCCCTCGTCCGAGTGCGGTGGAGAGTTCGCCCCATGTTATAGGGGGCGACGCAGCTCCGGATGATCGCACGACTCCTATCGCATGGGTCGCGTCATAACAGCTCTCTGCGACCGCGTCATCCCCTCCAGACAGCCGCGTCGAGGGACAGCACCCCGCGTCTGGAGACTGCCCTGGGGACTGATCCGTTTCCAGCACGATAGCGGGTTGGAACGGACTCCTCGGTGCTTGAAGTAACCATCCTTCAGACGGTCGGTGAGATGGACGTCGATCCCACGGCGCGCGGCTGTTCTGATCGACGAGTCCGCTAGCGTTCTGGAGACGCAGCGGGACTCCCTATATTCAGTGCTTCGCTACTTGTGACCTGAAACAGAACAGGAATCTGGTTATTTTTTTTTTGTATTTGTATTTCTTGCATACCATCAACAGGTCCGAAAACCCAATAATAGACGGAGTCAGACATATAAAAACAATAAATACGACACACATTGTTAAAATTCACACTGTATGGCGAACGAACACAGACACACACTTCATAAAACGAGAGCGCCTTCCAAAAATGTCCGCTCCAGGAGTCACCTGGTACAGGCTATTAATCCGACGTGGTAGACGGCAAAACAATCCATCTTTGATGGTGCCTACTCTGGCGGCTGGGACATTCAGACAGGGCTGCGCGCGAGTTGCCCTGGCTGGGACAGCAAGTCCGAAGCTGCCCAGGATTTCCACGGAGTCAACACGGCCCCCGAAGACGCCATGTAGGAAGGCGAGGTCGTGTTGCGCCAGGCGCTGTTTGATAGTTAGAACGGCGAAGTGGAGCAATAGCTGTGCGTAGTCAAATGAGTTAGAAGGGCGATTAGAGTTAACAGCTAGCCAGATTAAAAACTTATGCTGGACCCTGTCCAGTCGCGCCATGTGAGTTACTGCGGCGCCCGACCAAATAACGCTGCCAAACTCCAAAACAGAACGAACGTGAGCGTTAAAGGCCGTAATAAGGGGAGCTGGCTCGAACCTGCGCCCTGTCCGCGCACGTGAGGTTTGGAGCGATCGCAGGTAAGTTCCCAAGGCACGATTCGCCCTCCCGACGACGTCATCGATGTGAGAAGCAAAGTTCAATTTTGAGTCCAGAATAACGCCTAAATCACGCATCTCAGATACGCGATCCAGGGTGACATTGCCAATGGAGTATGACGTCAGGACAGGCTTTTTGCGCAGAGTAAAGGTAATAAACTTGCATTTTGCTGGGTTAAGTTTTAGTTTCCAAACGGTGGACCAAGAAGATAGGATGTCTAAATCGGCCTGAAGGGTGGCAGCATCGTCGGAAGAGCGAATCCGCCTCAGCAGCTTCACGTCATCAGCGTACATCAGGCATGTCGATGAGATAGAGGACGGAACATCATTGCAAAATAACACAAACAAGATCGGGCCACAGATACTGCCCTCCGGCACCCCCGACCCAACCGGCACCCAACTGGACGCCGTCCCGCACAGCACCACGCGCTGCTCTCTCCCACATAGGTAGGACTCAAACCACCTCAGGGCAGCTCCAGACAGATTGTAGGAATGATGAAGTTTGTGAAGAAGGAGAGAATGGTTGACGCTGGTGAAAGCTGAGGAGTAATCCGTGTAGATAACATCTGTCTGGAGGCCATCGGCAATTGAGTCCCACAGCTGCTTAACGAGGCAGGCAAGGTTAGTAGTACAGGAGCGGCGCGGGAGGAAGCCGTGCTGGGCCGGAGAGATGAGACATGGACCATCAACTGGTCACACGTTACGCGTTCTAAAATTTTTGAGCAAATGGGTAGAAGCGATATTGGTCGATAGTTAAGCGGATCTTTTCGGCTGCCTTTCTTGTGTACCGGTGTGACGTGCGCGCGTTTCCAAGCTGAAGGAAATTTGCCCTGTTCGAATGATAGACGGCAAATTTTGGTCAGAGGGATCGAAAACTCTTCAGCGCACTCTTTTAAGATGCGGGCACTAAGGCCGTCTGGCCCACACGCCTTGTGGACGCTTTGGGTCATCAATAAGTTAAGAACGGTGTCGTGATTGACCGAAAATCTGCTAAGAACGTCAATGTGGTACGATGTGACATCCGGAAAACTATCGACCGTACCGTCGGAGAATTTTGAGGCAAAGACCCGACTGAAACCATCTCATACTAAGATGGTATACTAAGTTAACCATCTCATACTAAGAAAGAGAAACGAATTGATGCAAAAAAGCGTCTAACACTATCTAGGCGCTACTTGCCCGTAATACGCTCGATGCATTCCACTTTTAGAAGTTTGTGACCCACCTGATCCTACCTCCAACAGCTAACCATGCTACACCTCACAGACCTCGTCCCCGTCCCCTGCGCCCAGCCACTGACCCTGAGGAGCCACTGCCGAGCAGTTTCGCGCCGCTGAGCACCACGTAGGGCGACTGCAGCTCCTTCTGCTTCTCCTGCAGCCGGGAGAGCGTGTTCAGCGGTGTGTCCGTCGAGTTCATCTGCGCCATCAGCAAGCTCTCCTGGATCTTCTTCTCACGCTTCTCGGTCTTCATCTTGCCGGAACCCTTGCCGTGGAACTTGTGCGATAGGTATCTGTAAAGAACGGAGGGAATCGGTCAGAGCCAGAGGGGGTACACTCGTTAAACGTTCAGTTGTTTATCGATCACCATATTTCAGACGGTAGAAAATTATCCGAGAAGAATGCTAAAAATCACGACATCGATAATAAATCCACATTTATCAACAAAAGCAGGTAAATTCGTAGGTCAGTCACCAATCCATATCCTGTTATCTACAGCTCCTCTTCGAAGCCCCCAAACTACGGGATGCCATAACCTCGCTAACCCATCCGTCATCCTCACCCACCTGAAAGCCTCCTTGGAGCTGAGTAGACGACCCTGGTCGTCGATATACTCCAGTTTGACCTCCGGTTTGTAGTTGGCCTTATCCTTGAACTCCGTGACCGGTCCGCCGCCGCCGCCGCCGTACCCGCCGCCGCCCCGGCCGCGCCGGTCGTCATCCATAGCGCTCTTGTCCTCGATGGAGTAGTTCTGAGCCCGCAGGTGGGCCAGCACCTGCTGACTGGCGCCCTGGGACGCACGAAGGAGCGCGTTGGTCAGATGGGCGGGACGGCGGGTGGCGTTATGTCCAAGCCGGACTGACATTGCGGTGTGGGAACGTGATATTTGAACAGCTAGTGTTAAAGTCCTGTATTTCAGCAATCTAAAAACAACGCATCAGCAGAACAAGAATGCTGAATGATCTATTTTGGTGGAGTATAGAGTAACAAATCCTGGAAGCAGCAAAAATTAACCATCGATGGCAAGCAATCATGTAACAGAGGCAAGATCCCGATAGCACGCAGCTGTTGTAAAATTCCTACCTTAATAATTCGTACAAAACAGAAGCTAGTACATATTGGGAGAGGGGGTCCTAACATCCCCATCCACACAACGGCAGCCTCTTCCGCAGCACCCACTCTCTCACCTTTTTCCCGCTCTCCTCCTGGTCGACATATCCCTTTTTCATGGCCAGTTTGAGCGCGCCGGCCAGTCCGGCGCCGACCTCTGGCTCCGCCTCCAGGATGGCCGACCTCTCGGCGGCCTCCCGCTCGGTGGGCGCGGCCGTCTCGTCTGGCCCCACCTCCTCCCAGACTCCCCCGTCGGCGGCGCGTGCCAGGTCCGAGCGGCGCCGCTCCTCCGCCAGCTCCCGCTCCAGACTGGCGATCTCCTCCGCCTCCTCGTCTCGGTTACCTGCGCAGGGGAACACGCAGATAGAAAGGTGAGGGTTGTACCCGAGGAGGCACGCGGCTGGATTGGGGCAGGGGCGCATCAGTAGAGAACATTTTACGGCTAGGCGCATAGTGCTTTATAAACTGGCGAAGTTTCTAGCATAAAATGACATTAAGACTTGAAAGTGTTGGAACGTCAAGTAATAAAATGATTTCATGGACGACAGCTGCATTGTATGATACATCTCTGCTGCATATTTACTCGTAAATTTAGGCAATTGCACAATCAATGTCAATGCCAATGTAAAATACTTAAAAAGACGCTGTCAAAGAGAAGAAATCCAAGCCTACCTAAACAGCGTATGCGACGAACTGATTTCCGCTCTCCAAAAACATCGAATGAAATGCCATCAAAGCTGCACGCTCTCCACACAGAGCCTCCACCGGCTGTCCATTGCATTCCTCACCTGACATGCCGTATGTAGGAATATCTCCCAGGGAGCGGCAGAACTCAGCCGTCGAGTTGAGCACGATACTCTGAGTGACGGACGCATCGGCGGCCTCCTTCTCACGGAGCTTGGCAGCGAGCTCCGCCAGACGTCGCTCCGTCGACCTCGTCGCGCCAGACGACTCCGACTCCTAAGACGATAGAGTCGGAGTCAACAACAGTCAGTAGAGTAAGGATACATTCACCCTTGCCAAACACAAAGTTTATTGAAAAACGTGCGTTTGCTCCCCTACAAAGACCCGCGGCCAGGATGCCTTAGCGACAAGGCATTCGCTAAGGCATCCTATTCACTAAAGCCATTCAACTGAACATTCCCCAGGTCAAGACGACCTAGTTACTTAATACTTAGACCAAACAACAAGCTAAATTCAGTCAGATCACTGCTGTGCTGACTAGCCTGCCTTCCAGTGACATCAAGACGCCGTCCAAGTTTCAACTCTGACTCCGTCCCCACCTGCGCCTGCGCGTCCTGATTGAGTCGTCGGGAGCGCTCGATGGCGCGGCTCAGCTCGGTGTCAGCCTCCTCGTCTTCCAGTTTGACACCGCTCAGGTCATCGGTCACTGGAGCTGAGGAGAGAGGGAGGGGGGGGGGGGGTGTTAGTCGGAGAGAGGGAACGGGAGGTGGTACACGCGGGATTGCAGGGCGGTGAATGAATCGGACCGGTGACATAGCAACGAGATCGGCCTCTCACGAAGAACAAAAATGCAATACACATGATCATGATGGAAACCATGAAATATTCATAAGCAAGCTAAAAGAAGCACGAGCACAAACAAGGCAGGAAACAAAGCAGGAAATTAATGTTAACATTATAAGGACCATAAACAGGGCAACACACTATAAACAATCTACATCTAATAGCAGAATAAGTTATAATCCTTAGCAGTCTGCCAGAAAACCGAGCTTCACCATCAAGACTACACCTCCTTCACTAACTCAGTGCTCCGCCGGCCGTCCCCTCCTGCCCACCCACCGGTGTCGTCAGTGACGGCCGCCTCTCCGTCGCTGTCGGCGGGCTCGCGCTTCACCCGCGAGCCGAGGTGGGCCGACGGGTCGTCATCGGCCAGCGGCAGCAGGTCGTCCGCCTTTAGAATACCCTTCTTACGCACCTTGCGTACCTGACAATAGGAGGAAAGGGCGGTGTTAGAGTGTGCACTATCGATGCGGACGCTGAAACTAGGGCCAGGGAAGAAAAGCAGAAACCAGACACTGGAGGGAAAGAACCTTTGGGGGAGGAGAGCCAAGCCAAAGAAAGAACAGAGTTGGAAGATATTTTGGTGGAATGCCTACGAAAGAAGAAAGTCAGACGACCAAAGTGACAAAGTGACACCACTGACCTTTTTCTTGACCTTCTTGAATGAGGCCATCTCTGCTTCTGTGTAGAACTCTGACGCGATCTTGGGTGCCGGCATGTCCAGGGACTGCATGGCCTGCTGCTTCATCTTCTGCTTTAACTTCTCCTTGACAACAGCCGCCTGGTTGACAGCGGCAGAGGCCTGGCCGGCCGCACCTGTCGAGAGTAAACGATACGTTGAGGGATCGCAACATTTAAAGAAAAAGTACCGTGTAAGCTACACCCGACTTGACGATACGTCGTTTTCTGTCTCATCGCATTATCTGTCGTCTCTAAACACAGACAGTATGGAACAGCTGCGACACATTCTTTCCGCTCGTGCTTACCGATAACAAAGGAGGACTTTTTCTCTCCGTCCAGCTGTTCGTCGTACTGGCTGAGCAGCGACTTGGGCCGGTAGTTGCCCTGCTCGTCCCATTCGTCCTGGTCGTCGGGACGGTAGCCCGGCTTCTGGCGCCGGATGGCCACGTTCTGTCGCAGAATCGAGGACATCGAACGGTCAGGGCAGAGAGTCGAACATCTGATCGCTCTAAATACCCCTAGGTAACATAATGAGTCGGAAGTAGCTAAGTAGGAAGTAGAGCGTCCTCGCTGTGAGATCAAAGACTGTGAGATTCAGCTGATTAATTGGCATAAGCATGAGTCACTTTGCAATGAAACGATCCATTGTTACACAGAAATCGAGCAACAGACTATCCTCAGCACATCAAACACTGAACAGATCCCTCATACAATTAAACTCTCCTAACAGTGGCCCACCTTCTCATGCCGCTCGTCGTCCACCATATTGACGTTGACCAGCACGTCCGACTCGTCCTCATCCAGCACAGCCTTGTCCTTTATCGTCAGCACCACGTCACGTCCTTCGACAAACTGGTCGGCCTGGTGCTCCACCGTCAGGCCGCGCAGGTCGCCGGCCGAGTAGGCCGCGGCGCGCGACTCGCTCGTGTCGGCGGCCACCAGGTCTCCCACGCCGAACTCGGCGTCTAGGTCGTCCAACAGCGCCGCCTGGCGAACGTGAGGGGGCGGTGTCAGCGTGAGGGGCAATGGAATCGCAGGACACTCATGGACATGGTAATTGGTGGGCGATTAGTTTCGCGTTTCCAAAATTGAATTGTATGCGCTGCAAATGAAATGGGGCATTGTGAAAATAAAAAAACGCTGTAACAGATGCACACCGTAACACTTGGAGCTAGTATCTACAAGTTGGAACGTTTACTTTGTCTCTCATGTAAAATACACCAACTACCAGACAATCGAACTAGGTACGCACTATGATCAAGAGAAACAGAATATCAGCAGATCAGAACCGTGATGAATCCCAACAGGGGCGTGTATCAACTGACCCGTTTGGAGGCCATCTCCTTCTCCTTCTGCAGCTGACGCGACTTTGTCACCCAGGCGGAGGCCGACTCATCATCATCATCCGAGTCGCCCAGTCCGCGAACGCGGGTCATCCGCGCCTCGATGGCACGTGCTTCGCGCCGCGACGCCAACTTCTCACGCAGCTTCTCCGTTTTCTTTTTATCTCCGATGTGCTCTGTCGGGAATAAAACATGACGGTGATGACCTCAACAGAGGAATGGGGCAGTGACAGCCCAGTAATTGCACGTGAGACTTCACCCAAAAAGGTGATTCCAAATGCGTTCAATGAATAATGCCGATGTAGACGGTTGACCTTGTCCTAAGTCTGTGCGGCCCATACTCCCATTCAGTTGATTTTGTAAGTGATAAAGAGGTATCTCGGTTATCAGCAAATCAAACAAAGGGATCTGGGTTGATGCACCTATTAAGAAAAAAATTACCATACTGCAACTAATGCTGACATTTTCAGACACCGAGTAGTTTGTATGAATGTATACCAGCCAAATCACACCCACCTGGCTTTTTGTGAATAGCGTATGTGTCCGAGGAGCCCATTCTGGGCCCTTCAGCGCTCCCCTCGCCTCCATCGCCCGTTCCCTTCACCGGTTTCACATCGAGCGGTCTCAGACCGAGCTCGGCTCGCAGCCGGTTCGTCTCCTCAATGGAGAGGGACGACTCACCGCCACCGCCGCCCTCACCACCGCCGGCCGGAGGTGAGGAGCGCAGGCGGGGCGGCGGCGGCGCGGCCGGCGCGCCCTCCGCGCGCAGCTGCGGGGGCGGCGGCGCCAGCGGCGGCGAGGCCGAGCTGCGGCTCAGCTTGGGCGGCGGCGGCGCGGCGAACGGCGGGCTGTCGTCCACCTCATGGCGCCGCTTCCGGTCCGACTTGTGCTTTTTGTGTTTGCGCCGGTGGCGGCGCTCAGAGTCGCCGTGCTCCGGACTGGCGGAGCCCGAGCGGCTCCTGTGCCGGCGCCTCTCCCTGTCACGGTCACGGTCACGATCGCGGTCCTTCTTCTTTTTCTTTTCATGACCCATAGCTTCCTGTGTTTACTCTGAAATATAAGCAGAAAAACAACATTATGGTACCCATTTAGCATTGCATTACCTTGTTGGTAAAACAATTACCTATAAGAAACAATAAGTAATTATTGTGCCTACTGCCTTATAACTCTGATAGCAGCACAAGTTTTTGAGGCAGCTGTCTGCATCAATTGCTGGTTTTATATTAGCTAACATTGTTCTCCTGATACATTGGTATATGTGAGGATAAAAGCTGAGTGGTAGGTTGTAGGTTGGTAGGTTGTAGGTTGGTAGGTTGTAGGTTGGTAGGTTGGTAGGTTGGTAGGTTGTAGGTTGGTAGGTTGGTAGGTTGGTAGGTTGGTAGGTTGGTAGGTTGTAGGTTGGTAGGTTGTAGGTTGTAGGTTGGTTAGTTTGGTAGGTTGTAAGTTGGTAGGTTGTAGGTTGATAGGTTGTAGGTTGGTAGATTGTAGGTTGGTAGGTTGGTAGGTTGTAGGTTGGTAGGTTGGTAGGTTGGTAGGTTGGTAGATTGTAGGTTGGTAGGTTGGTAGGTTGTAGGTTGGTAGGTTGTAGGTTGGTAGGTTGTAGGTTGGTAGGTTGTAGGTTGGTAGATTGTAGGTTGGTATGTTGTAGGTTGGTACTTGGTTGGTTGGTAGGTTGTAGGTTAGCAGGCTGTTGGTTGGTAGGCTGTAGGTTGGTTCATTGGTAGGTTGTAGGTTGGTAGGCTGTTGGTTGGTAGGCTGTAGGTTGGTACATTGGTAGGTTGTAGGTTGGTGGGTTGTAGAAATGTAGGTTGGTAGGCTGTAAAGATGTAGGTTGTGGGTTGGTAGGTTGTAAAGCAGGCTAGTAGGTAAGGTTAGGTCAGGTTATATTATGTTTATCTCCGGGTATCAGTATAGCGCTTTTCCTTGGTTGGAAAACCTTTGTGTATTCAATGTCTGTTCTGCTAATATGGAACTTTGACCCTTCTAACAATACCTATCATAAACAGAGCAAACTAAACAAGCCCCAGGTTTGATGTCTCTCAACAAAGATTCTACGTCAAAGATTCTACGTGACGTAGTCCGGCCAGACTACAACATCTATAGGAAAAATGGACACGCTTATATAATTCATTGGCCTGCAGAATTCAGCAAACCTGTGGTCAATGGCATGGTCAGATATGTTATTCTGAAAAATGGATTTCCTACAAACTGCAAAATTAAAATGCAGATACTGCAGCACCACGACCCTGATGACCCAAGGGACAAGGGCATGGGCAACGCTAGCTAGTAGCTGGGCTACATAACTTTGAAACTGATACCTATTTCAACACTGACACCGCTACCTATTGTCCTTTAGATCGCCTTGGTCTCACCAGCAGCCTATCTTGAGCCCATATATCTTCCCAAAAGCACCTTATCCGACTCCGACAACCTGAACCGACAGAAACGTTTTGTTCCTCGTTTATGAACAGTTTACCCAAACTTGTTGGATGTTCATTTTATCGAAACTTTAGCGTCCGCTAGCTGCCTTCCGATAACCGATTTGCTATGAGAAAATAATCTAGGGTTATTTTTCTAACTATGGAATGTTTTATATTCTTTTACGACTTCATATGATATTAAATTTAAAAAACGAAAGGGATTTTGTATTGTAAAAATAAAAAATATCGGTTTACCCCGCTGATGCTGCTAGCCGATTTGTGTTACTGAAGTCTTGAATACCAAGCTGCATGAAGAAGTGTCGACACAATCAATGCGCACCTGCTTCAAAAAAGTGGAAGAAAGCGGCTAGTAAAATATATGTGGTTCAGACATTCTATGATTTTTCACTGGCATTTCAACAAAGAGGATATGTTGAGCTAGGTCACAACTCACAACTCACAGGAACTTAACTTGTCTAGCTCAGTAGCGGATCCAGAGACCAGAGGGGGGCATGGGGGCCATGGCTTCCCCCCCTACGGCCTCCCGTGGGCACCATTACGGGTTTTTTTATTCATCACGGAGGTCACCGACGGGAGCTTCAACCCAGAGCCGTCTCCCAAGGGGGCACCATCCAGAAGGTCTATCAGAATAGGGCACTGTTTTCGGGGTCTCCCGGAGGCCCATTTCTGTCCCTCGCCTCGGGTGGGGCTTTTTCCATCCCGAGGTCCGCGGGGGCACCATCTCGAGTTCTCCGGGGGCACTATCCCGAGTTCTTCGTGGGCACCATTCCAAGGTCGGAGGGGGCACCATCTCGAGGGTCCGGGCCCGGGGGCACCATCCCGAGGTCTCCGGTGGCACCATCGCCAGGTCTGGGGACATCATCCCGAGGTCTGATGGCAGAGGGGGCACCATCCCGAAGTCTGTCCCCGAGGGCACCATTCCGAGGTTTCCGCGGGGGCACCATTCCAAGTTTCCAGGGGCACCATTGTGTCGGAGATACGGGGGGGGGGCAAAAAAATGCCCCCCCCCCACCTCGCGGAAGGTGGCCGGGACGCCCACCGCCTGCCGTGGTCGATAGAAATATCTAAATATTTCTCATTTCTATCTAAGTATATATATATATATATATATATATATATATATATATATATATATATATATATATATATATATATATATATATATATATATATATATATATATATATATATATATATATATATATATATATAGTTTAAAGAAATATATAAATATTTCTAATTTCTACCCTTTCGAGTAAAACTCCACACTAATGTAAGTAAAACTTATTCCAAGTAAAACTTGGACCGATGAATGTGAGGCGATTTGGTGTAGGGTCATTGATAACGGAAAGAAACATTATATCATAGGGTGTCTTTATGACCCACCTAGTGACTGTGAACTTCGGCTATCCGAATTCTTGTCTGTTCTCGAGCAAAAAGCACTATCCACAAATTCCAGAATCATTGTCGGTGGTGATTTTAATCTTCCAGATATACTAGGGTTGACTATTAACCCGCGCCCCGTTGGGCTCTGCCGAGCAACGCGCCCCGTTGGGGGGGGGGCCATTTTGGCCCCCCCCTAAGATCTCGAGAACCACGCAACGTAGCGACAAGCGGCAAACGGTGTTGGATAGCCCTATCAGGGAACTACCTTGTGACCCAATTTTATTGACCTAGGTCAAACCGATGACGTCACAGGTCAGGTCAAAGGTCCAATTTTCACCGTTTACAGGCATTTCAAGAAATGCGTTGTAAAATCGAGTAAAATGCATTTCATTGAAAATCATCGATGGGGAAATGTTCTTCAAACACATATTTTGCTAGTTGAGGTCACTGATACCAGGTCAGGTCACTGAGGTCAGGTCACTGGGGGGTCACAATATGAAAGTGTCGTGTGATACATGTTTTATGGTCCATTTTACATGACAAATGCGATTATGTGGGTCAGGCAGCCTTTGGGGCCAGCTTAGGTCACGTTTTGGTCAAGGTCAGGTCAAGGTCAGGTCAAGGTCAGGTCAAATAAGGTCAAATTTCAAAGTTAATATTTTTGCATAAAATGGGTATCGAATCGATGCAGCTCGTCACGGGGAGTTCAATGGTGGTCTTTGTTTTGCCGTACGAGGTCTAGAATCGCTAAAAATTGAGTTCAAAAATTTGACGTTTTCATTTTTGAACAGTTTTTTTCGGTATAACTTGGCCAAAAAACGAGATATCGATCTGAAATTTGGTATGTATATAGAAGAGCGCAGGGACTATCACATATATTCCGGTTTTTTCGAAATTCGGAAAAATTTTGGATTTTTTTTTAGTTTTTCTAAAAACATCAATTTTTTGAATTTTTTTGGGTCAAAAACCCAAAATTTTGAAAATCCGAGATAGCAGTTTTGTAGCGCCGCTTTTTGTCTATTAGACCATATAAAGAACTTTGAAATTGCTTGATAACTGTAGATTTGGTGAGCGTTTCAAGATTGCATGTTTTTTGCTCATTTTTGCTCGAACATGACCTCAGTTTGACCTCAATAACTCCTGACCTAAGGTGACCTAAGACTTGAAATTTGGTGTGAAGGTGTCAAATTGATGCCCGGAAAGGTACTGAAAATTTGGCGGCGCTGCGCGCCGCCGTTTTCTTGCTATTCAGGAAAAACCACAGGGGGGGGGCCAAAATGGCCCCCCCCAACGGGGCGAGGGTTAAGTAATGGAAGTGCCTTAAGCAATTAAACGGGTTTGCACGTGCACACATTATTTAGGTGTCATTTCATGCGCCGATCTTTTTTCTATCCAATGGTGAAGACCACATGTCCCTAGCTACTTTTTGCTATAAGCTATCGTCGTTTTCCCAAGAGACCTCCCGAACCTGTGGCGCACCACCTGGCAATGGCCAAAGCCGCGCGCCAGCGCCGAGTGCAAGGTCATTAGAGCTCAGTTTGTCGTAGGGAAAAGGCCTACCAATTTCAGAAAATTTATTTTCTAGTATGGAGCGACGCAGCCTCCCCACAGACGATATGTCGGTGGTTTCATCGGTTTGAGAAAGAAAGCGCCGATCAGTCTTCTGGCGGCGTTCCAGGAGTGGGTCAAGACGAGGCTGGAATGGTGTGTGATGCTTGAAGGCGATTATTTGGAGTAGTGTATGCTGTCATTTATCGTGCCAATGTGTATTGTTTTGATGAAAATATAGAAATTGTCCATTGTGTAGCCATAACAATAAGCCAATAGGCTCTGATGACCTCGCGCTGGCGCTTGGCGCGCGATTTTGGCCATTGCCAGACTCCTTTTTCATGGTGCGCCGCAGGTTCGGGTGGTCTCTTGGGAAAACGACGATAGCTTGGAGCAAGAAGTAGCTAAGGACATGTGGTATTCACCATTGGATAGAAAAAACATCGGCGCATGAAATGACACCAAGAAAACATGTGCACGTGCAAAAACGTTAAATTGCTTAAGGCACTTCCATTACTTAATAGTCAACCCTAGTAGATTGGACCAACATGATCAGCTCGACTGGTGGAAGATACCGCAACAAAAACGATATTCTAGTAAATGTTGTGAATAGTTATGGATTGGAGCAAATGGTTAAGGTACCAACCAGGGTAACTGAACACGCTAGCAACATTCTGGACATAATTGTAACTAACGTTCCTCAACTAGTTAACAACCTTCACACATGTTTGGGCATTAGTGACCATTCAGCTGTGATATTCCAAACCCAGGATGTAGCACGACAACCAAAAGTAAAACGAAAGATAAAACAATATAATAGAGCCAATTTTGAAGATATAAATCAGCGTCTTTATCAATATTTCATACAATTTCGTGAAGAAGCACTTTCACGGACCGTTGATGAAAACTGGATTATGTTCAAAGAGGCGATAAGTAATGTAGAAAGTAGCATACCTACCCGTGCCTTTACCATTAACGGAGATCCTCCGTGGCAGGGTTGTGCTTGACTCATGAGTCGAGTCAGAAATTTGACTCAACTCTGACTCAAATGAGTCAGGTTTGAGTCGAGTCGGATTGAGCTGTTGAGTTGAGTCAGAGTTGAGTCAGCCAAAAATATTAAGGTGTTGAGTTGAGTCAGAGTTGAGTCAGTGAAATAACTTTCGGACATTGAGTTGAGTCAAAAACATTTAGGAACATGAGTCAGCTGACTCATCTTTTTAGAAGCTATATATATAAGCTTTTCATTCTCCCCCGCTTAACAACTTAGGCCTGGCCCTGCTGCCGGATTTTTTTCACCCCCCCCCCCCCCGCTCAACAACTTTTCATCTGAGTCAATTTTGAGTCAACACACTTGACTCAACAAAAAATTTGAGTCAAGTTTGAGTCAACTCATATTTTCATTGAGCCGTTTGAGTCATGAGTCGAGTCAAGGGGAAAAAATCAGCTCCTTGTTTGAGTCAGAGTTGAGTCAGGGCTTTCTGAAGTTGAATAATGAGTCGAGTCAGCAAATTTTTTTGAGTCGAGCACAACCCTGCTCCGTGGTACAGTCTTAGACTTAAACGTCTCGAAGACAAACAGAGACGGTTTCATCGAGAAGCAAAATTTTACAAATCTGCTGTTTCTCTGCAAAGGTATAGAGAAATTCGGGCGGTTGTAAAACAGGCATACAAAGAAGCAGAGTCCAATTACAAAAGTAGGCTTGGGTCGCTCTTGAAAGAAGACAATAGACATTTTTGGAAGTATGTTAAAGCAAAAATGACTAAAAAAACGGGCATTACCTCTATTGTATCCGAGAGTGGGAACATTGTCCACAACCCGGAGGATATAGCAAATATTCTTAACAATCAATACAAAGGGATATTTTGTGAGGAAGATGATACAGATACAACATCATTGAGCGATTGTACTCGCACGTCGGAGGTTATGCCGCCGGTTCTTATTAGTTATCATGGCATCGTAGGCCTCTTACAAAATATTAAGGTCCACAAAGCGTGTGGCCCTGATGGCATTAGCGGGGCTATTCTAAAACATTGCGCAGAAGTGGTCGCAATGTACCTCAAAATGATTTTCGAACAGTCTCTTGATATGAAAGACATTCCTCACGATTGGCGTCAAGCCACAGTGCACCCAGCTTTCAAAGGGGGCAGTACCAAAGAACCTGTAAATTATCGTCCAATTTCGCTCACATGTATATGTTGTAAAATGATGGAGCGTGTTTTAGTTTCCCATATTGTGATGCACCTAGATGATTTTGACCTATTCTCTGATAGTCAGCATGGATTCAGAAGACATCTTTCTTGTGAGTCACAACTGTTACTGCTTTATCAGGATATTATGTCATCCATTGACAAGAAAAAGAGTGTTGATTTGGCATTCATTGACTTCAGTAAGGCGTTTGATAGGGTTCCACATAAACATCTCTTAACTAAACTAAAAATGTATAATTTAGATGATAACGTTCTTGGCTGGATTGAAGCCTTCTTATATAATAGAACGCAGAGAGTTCTGGTTAATAATTGTTATTCTGATGTGATTAGAGTTACGTCCGGTGTCCCACAAGGGAGTGTATTGGGTCCAATATTATTTCTTTTATATATTAACGATCTTCCGGATATGATTAATTGTCAGATAAAATTATATGCAGATGATGTTGTTCTTTACACAGACATCTTAAGCAATGAAGAATGTAGTTTTTCGTTACAGGCAAATATAAATAGATTATCTCAATGGTGTTCCAAATGGAAAATGTCTATTAATGTTGGAAAGTGTGCTATCATGAGAATGACAAAGCAAAAACTTGCTGCAATGCCTAGATACTATTTGAATGGAATAGAAGTTCAGGTTGTCAATGAGTTCAAATATTTAGGCGTGCATATTTCGAATAAATGTACCTGGCAAAAATCATGTACAACATGTCACTGGTAAAGCGAATCAGATGCTACGATTTATTAAGCGAAATTTCAAGGATTGCCCACAGGCTGTAAAGGAAATCGTGTATTTGTCCCTTGTTAGGCCACATCTAGACTATGCCAGCTCTGTTTGGGACCCATGGGGAGAGGGCATGAAGCATGAGCTGGAAATGGTTCAAAGGCGTGCTGCTAGATTTATACTTAATGACTACGACCGACATAGCAGTGTTACTGACATGCTGGCCACAATAGGATGGGTATCCCTAGAAAGCCGACGTAGAGAGGCGAGATTATGCTTACTGTACAAATTACACCATGGCAACATGAAAGTAGATGTTAGTAGAATTATATGTGAACCTAGCTATATATCACGGAGTGATCACCCTAAAAAGATAGAGAGACTTCCGTCGAGATTACTTCAGTACCATAACTCGTTTTTCCCAAAAACCATAAGAGAGTGGAACCAACTTTTGCCCAGCATGATGGAAGCCGAATCTGTGGAAGATTTTCGGAAAAACGTTCAAACACATGTAAATTCGGCGTAAACGTGATTGTAATTGAAATTGCTCATGAGTAATGCAGAATGAATCAATCTAAAATCAGTAGTAATGTGAGTAGGTATGTACTTGTGTGTATGTACTTGTGTGTATGTGCGATACTGATGTGTGCATGATGTGTGAACCAGATTTAACATCACCAGGGCCAACCGGCATTCGTGATTGTTGTAATACATGATACATGATACATGATACTAAAATGCCACTAAAAGACGAAGTATATTAACTGTGTTACACGCAGCTTCAGTTCATTGTTAGAGGACACATACTGACATACACACCACACACGCACAAACCCACAAACAAACGTTCCCTTACACATAAACACACGCATTTACACACAAATCCATAAAGTCACAGCCATATAACAGTGACACAACTAGTGCAGGCGTGCAATGATGTTGAACGCAGTGGCGACAGGTTTTATTTCTTGCACGATACGCAGCGAGGACGAGCAAGGAAATAAAAACAGCGAGCCTGACCATACCTACAGCCATTAGTCACATCAGTCTGGAGGTCAGGAGATACTGGTTTATAGCACATTGAAGCGAATAACGATTTCATGATTTCTTTTTCTTAGTTTTTCGCACATGGTAGGTACCTATATAATTATAAAATCCAACCTAGATAAAATCCAACCGTCTGTTCCGGATATTACATTTTTCAAGGCGATGAGAAAAGACAGCACACCGTGCTGTCGTCACTGTTATGAAGCAGGATGAGGAGAAGAAATCTTATTTCTCGCCTTGTGTGAATATGTACCTACCTATCCTACGTCTAATTCATGAACCATTCGTGTGCATTTCGAGTACGTACACCATCAATCAACATGTGAGAGTAGTAACATTCTGATCATAGTCCGTTTAAAAGTTATTCACCCACCTGAGTCACATGGCTTCAGCTAGTTAGGAGTACATGCCAGAGAACAGTTCTGAGGACACACAGTTAACCCGGCGGCCGCTGGGCCTCCGCGCCACCCGCCGGCCGCTGGGGGGGGGGGGGGCATAAAGTTGCCCCCCCTTTACTTCTGCGACGATATCGTCGCAACGCGAAGAGATAGAGAAGCGAAACTTTGCACACATCTTCCTGAATACCTAGCCGAGGTTGTGTCCAAATTTGGTGTCGATCCCATTTGAAATGACGTCACAGTGACGTCATAAGTGAAATTATAGATTTGCGACTCTCATATTCCTCACGATACATCACATATATGGGACCGAATATAAAGGGCCGATTATTGGTCAGAAACTAGATGGAAGTGTAGTAAGATGTTTTAGGATGACAGCAGGTGCTGTCTAGTTCATTTACAGTCGAGTTTCATGCTCAGCGTCATCAGAAACGGTCCATATCGGAAAACGACAAAACTTTATGACGTCACTGTGACGTCATCTTAGGTGCTACAACCACCAAACTTTCCTCAAACATTGCCTAGGTATTCATTTGAAGCTATGCCAAGTTTCACGTTCGTAGCTCATCAGTTTTCGAAGATATTTCACAAAACGTAAAGGGGGGGGCAACTTTATGCCCCCCCCCCCCCAGCGGCTCGTGGGTTAACACCATTTACTAGACGACTTAACAGATCTACGTTGCCATATGAAATGCGAATGATACAAATACTAACTGAGCGTGTCGGTCCTATGAGGTTTTTACACACAACATGATTCAACGCTACAATGCACATCAACGCCCCGCACCATATGGTACTTGGACGAACCTCTGCCTATGCGATTCACATCCAATGAAATAAACGTCTCTTTGCTCCTTCAGCGCCCTTTTACCAAGCTCGTCTCTGGGCAGCGTTTTTATACAATGCCCATTTCGTCCGCATTAGTCTACAACAAAACCGCATCGATATCATCTCTGGTGCCTCGTCATCCCACTATTGGCGCCATTACACTGTTTCGTTTGCTGTATTTAGGTACACAGAGATACAGCTCTGAAGTGTGTGCCCTCAGCAGCTCAGCAGTTCCAGTTTCATTTACCAGATGGCACCGGTGCTGGGTCAGGCCAACAGCCAAAACCACAACGCGATAGTGGTCCACTCGTGATTTATGAACGCAACATCGGCTTCAAACTCCCCACCCGAACTCAGTTTTCCGAGCGAGGGAGTGCCCTAACTCCTCTCGGAGTGCGGGGGTTAGAACTCTGTGGCGATTCGCACGTCGTCTCCGTGTCCGTCTGTGTCAGCTCGGGCTCCGGGCGGCGGGGGTCGAGGACAGAGCACCACGTCAGTCCGCTGCGGCTGTGGGCTCGGCTCCCGGCGCGTGCTGGAGCTCGAGCTCTCCACGATCAGGCTGGTGGTGGCGTCCCTCTGAAGACTGGGGCTGGGCACGGGCCGGGCACCGCCGCGGTAGGGGCGAGGACTGGTCCCAGACGCCGGCGGCTGCGGGCAGATAGTCGTCCTCAAGTAAGTAAACAAAATCGTCAGCATAAAAACTAAATATCTTATTCCATTATTACTGGGCATTACAGCTGCAGTGTCATTAGCTATCTGCATTACCGTCCCTGAAAATGCAACGCCATTTTATAACAAGCATGTATTTAACACATCTTTTTGTAGAGCGCTGTAGCTATGAGCGGAAATGCGATCGCCTATCCAGCCCCTCTCGAACACTGCTATATAGACAGACATCGCAATGTCTTATATTGACATGTCCCAGACAGCGCCACGAACTTGCATTACATGCAACCATTCGCGATGGCACATTGTCGAATACCAATGAAACCATTCAAGCAGAAATCCAGGGACCAACAAGAGAGCAATCCTGGGCTCTTGAGCCAGTGCAATAAAATGCAGTGGCCGGAGCAATAAGATTATTTCTGGCATGTCGATGACCAGCGGCGCGTCTGTTATGAGCCATATTGGTGGGCGTAACGGCAGTCAGACTTCTTGGTGCGCCCGCACAACAGCCGAGCGGTAAACAATACATTGGTCGACTATTATTTCGACTGAAGTCGCTAAGCGTGAGACTACTGATAAATTTGACAAAAACATGCAATTGTTTTGTGATCATCTGCTTGAAATGACAATTTAACTTAAAGGTAGTGTGCCAGCTTTCCTGGACCGTATGGAGTTAATGGCCCAGATAAGGAGAACCGGATTTTTAGAACTTATCCATACCTTCAAAACTCATGGAAACGTCTTAAATTCTTCAAATTTTGAGTACCCCAGTGCGAAATTCGCCCCGACGGGTTGTCGGTCGTACCCCAACCACATTTCACACCACTATGAACAATAAATGCACACACTGAAATCGCTATTACCGATATGCTCATCCAATCAAGTTTCGATAAACCCGTTCATCATCAGCTCCTGCGGTTTCGAACACGCCTGTTAGGTGGTGCGGTAGACCGCGCCCAAAGCCAGGGCCCCGGTAACGTGAGGTAGCCGAGTCAGGGCAGCGTGCGCTGACCCAAGCCGGAGCCGCGCGTCCTCCCGGTGTCATGTGATAGCCCGGGGCTGCCCGCGGGGATGCGGTAGACCGCGCCCAAAGCTGCGGCCCCGGCTTGGGTCAGCGCACGCTGCCCCGACTCGGCTACCTCACGTTACCGGGGCCCTGGCTTTGGGCGCGGCTTCTGCTCATACTTTGTGGTGCGGTGGTGGTGCGTCGGGCTGCGCGCTCTGACTTCGGCCAAGAAAAATGCGTCAGCTGATCATTGTCATTTCTGCCACTTGCGTGTGGTGAAATGGGGTCATAACTTATGAGACGGCTTTTTCATATCAATTATTTTACATAAAACCATATTTCAAACCATAAATAATGTTCGACAGCCAAATAAAAGAAACAATACCAATACAGGCTTACAGTTTAAGGCTCGACATTGTGTTGTCTACGATTAGACAGCTGATAACTCATTCCCGTACGTCGTATGGTCGTAACACTATAATGACCTTTGCTTATTGTCACATGTGCGCCGCATTCGCGATTGTTGCCGACGCCTGTTTGCAGGTGAGCCCACTACATTTTTTATACATATCTAAAAACCGATAAACTTTTAGGCGAAAAAGGCACTATTCCAGGCCCATTTTTGATTTTTTTTGCGATATTAGGTAAAAACAGAAGCTTCTTATCCTAGGAAAAATAAAATGGGAAATCTTTCAAAGGTGGCACACTACCTTTAACTGTTATAAAGCAGCGCTACTGAAAAAGGAAATAACTTCAAGGAAACTCAAGTAAGACATCGTACCTTATTAGAAATCTTAAAATGAAAGATGCTAATATTATCTCAATGATTGACCTGTCGCATCTAAAGCAATGATGGATTCTGAATTTGTTTTAGTGACGCATTTTCAAATTGAACAGAGGCTGTGAGTGAAATAAAACAAAGTTATTGTATATAATTAATATATATTTATTGTGCATTTATTTATAATATCGACGCCAAACTGTGGACCAGGAGCTGTTCAGTTCACTCCTCCTTCGCTCGATCCTAGTAAACTTAGATTCGTTCGATTTGAGGTGAACTGGCTTCAACCATCTCCTTGCGACCGACTGACCCGAAAGACGATGAGGGGCACCAGCTCCTCCGTTCGACGCGTGTCGGTGGAGACGGTCGGCGACGGAGACGACGGACTCGAGTGGCTCGCGGGACCGTCGGCCGCCCGGCCCGCCGACGCCCCCTGGCGGCGGACGGCAGGAGACGTCACTGGCTGGGTAGACTGCGCCGCGCGACACCAGTGTGATGCGGCACAGTCTACGGGTCAGGTAAACACGCAGCTTCGCTCTCCGCTCTGTGCTCGCCAGAGATACGAAAAGGGTGTTGTATGCAAACCAGCTCGTGTTTACGTCCAATATATTATTCATGCTCTGCAGACAAGAGCCCGCTGTGAGCGCAACAGAGACGCTACAGTGAGATTGTCTGCATCTGAAACGTACCCAAATAACTACATCGCTCCCTATAACAGCCAAAATCCAGCTCCACAGTCAAATGAAACCAGAGCTCCACACAAACTGATGAAACCTCGCTACGGACACGTGGTGAATGAACACAGAAGAGCCCCCGAACTGCAGCGCAGATGAGTGTTATGTAGAGGCTCGAAACCGTGCAAGGAGACAGAATTCATACAACAGATTTGTTATGAATCCAATCATGATAATTATGATGAATTAATCATGATATGCAATCAATTTATGGATATTTTCAGCTTGAGTACCAATAGGTCGCGATTTTTTAAAATCATTTTTTGCTTTTTAAATTGAGGTTGGTTATACTGACTGGAGTGGACATCCGAGGTATTGAGCCTGACGACCGCTAGCTGTGATATTATGTTATTAATTTTTCACTTCAAACCAATTCTCTCTTATCCCCCGCCACGCTTCAAAAGCAATTTTCCATTGTTCTTTTATCCATCTCTTCGAGATATCAAATCAATTGGCAGCCTGAACATTTTCTATTATTTATTTCTAAACAAGTTGGCAGGGTTGGCTGGTACGGCCGTTACGGTATTAAAAATATAGGTGACTAGCGGGCAACGAATTTGGCACGGTAGCTATTCCAGCATTTAGCTCATCACTACCCAATAGGCTCCGTAGCATGTTTTAGTTACGTGATTTCCGATCTCACATGTAATGCATGGGCAGCGTGTTGCTAGTCTGTCTGGTCTGTCTAGTGTGTGGACAGTGCACTGACTGGCTGATCTGGGCAGTACCATGTGTGGTTGGTCGCCTGTGCCAGCGCCCTGCTCTGAGTCTGGGCAGAGTGATGCTAGTTTGTCTGGTCTGCCTGATCTATTAGTTCTGTCCGGGACTGTCAGCGTCCTACGCTGCCTCGATATTGTTGCTGCCTGGTCTGTTTGTTCTGTCTTTGTAATGTCTGTCTGAGGTCTGTTGCCCAGCGTCCTGTCCTGCCGCGGCAGTGTGCTTCTGGCCTGTTACCTGAGCTAGCGTCCTGCCCTGCATCGGCAATGCAAGCTGCTGGCCTGTCTGTTTTGTCTGTTGTGTCTGTGTGGTGTTTGTCTGTGACTGGTTACCTGAGCCAGCGCACTGTCTTGCCTCGACAGAGTACCACTGGTTTATTACCTGAGCCAACGCCCTGCCTTGCCTCGGCAGAGTACTGCTCGACTGACTGGTGGTGGAGCCGGCGCGCGGAGGAGGCCGCGGCCGAGGTCGCCCGGTCGTGGCCGGTCTCTCCAGTGAGGGGCCGTGCACGTCGACCGGCACAGTGTGCTCGCCACCTGTCGGATAGGCGAGATATGAGTCAGCGAAAACCTGTCAATGTGGGTTAGAAAGAGCCGTGGACCCATAAATATAGGTGCGAGCGTGCCGAAGCGCACTTACTCGACCAAGTCTCACTAACGGCAAGATCTGTCTAAAGGGGTTTATTTTCACATGGGATCAATCAAGGAGCAATTCAGATGTAAGGGATACCTTTACGGTCACCCTGAAAGAACAGAAGTCACATACCAAAAGTATTGGATATGTCAGCTAAACACAGTGCAATAACGTGGACGATATTCTCGCAGACCACCCTCTAGTTGTTCCTGGTCGAATTCAACCACATTCCAGCCTGAGCTGCGGTAAGGGTCAGCTAAATAATTTAAGGTGTAAAAATGTCACTAGGATGTCACTGACGTCTTGTCATGTCCTAAGTACAAAAAACAGCAGCAAGACCTGCCTGGCGTTGTCCTCTGGCGCTCTCTTCTGCTGGTTCTGCATGTCCAATGGCATGTCCAATAACGATGTCTGCTGGCGCTGTCCACCGCTGGACACTGTCCGCCGCTCCAAACGACATCCCCAGCCGGTCACAGCCCGAACTGAGCGATTCGCCGACCCGCCGTACCACTAATTGGCCCGCCCCGACAGCCGCCGGTCGCAGCTGTCACTGGCGGCTCGTCCGGCAACGGCAATCAACCACGGCGACAGACGCCGCCAGAAGCACCTCCAGATATCGGCCGGGCGTCAGACGGCGCAGAAGTTGTCGGCACCCTGACACCGAGAGCAATTAGGGCGCCTCTAACCAACAAACCATGATTGATGACCCATGAGATCGAGCACACGCCAATTCAGGAGCTTCACATGGCTATTGAGAGTAATACAGTAAGACAATGAGACTACCGGGCAGCGAGACATTGTAGAAGAGAGGCATGAAACATTGTAATATTATTTATTTGAAAATAAATAAAACAAATGTTCATGATCGAAATCTCAGAGCCCGAGCTGCATAACACAGCGCTTCATATGGGTTGGAGGCATCGACAAGCTTTACAGGAGCCATTAATCGAGAGATCTGCACGGCGTCGGGCGGATGGGCAGACGAATGTGGAAAACATTCTGTGTAAACATCTCTGCCGGAGCGCTGACACTTAGCTGCGGGCGACAGCGCGCGGATGCGACACCAATACTAGAAATCAGGGACTGAAAATGTGTCGTAACATCTGCTGGTACTTTGGTCTTATATAATCTTCTTTCACGAACGTCAGTACGAATCATGAGATTTATTTTCCAGCACTTCTGTGGTGTTTCCGATGCTGACGGTTTGCTGTGGAGTACAGCGATGTCATGTTCCCGAGAGTGTTCATTAGTTGACTCGTGGGCGTTGGTTTCCGAAATCAGCTCTCCGACGAGTCGTGGAATGTCACTGCGAACGCCAGACAGATTTGCAATGCACTGTGGGCGTGCAGGGGTCAGGGCGCAGACAGGTCTATGTTTGCACCCCAGCGTGCCTCCTCTAGGTATTGACCGCGCAAACGGGATAGCGTGGCTGGAATTGTGGCTCGTTAATGGCGACAGAACGATTTTTCGTGTATCTGATGATGAGATAACAGTCAGTGGAAATGTTCCGTGCAACATAAAAAGCGGACTTTGTGCGTGCTTTGTCCACTAGCTAACTATTTAGCACCGCAGCCAAAACCAAATATAAGTTATGTTCAAAATTATATTCCAGAATACCAATGCCAGTTTTAGTCATGACCAAGACAGGTAAAGTACCGTTAACCCTGATCATCAAAGCATCCATGGCTGAATCCATGGCCGTATCCGGGTCACTCGTCTGACATTCGGGGGGCTCGGCCGGCCGCCGTTCGTCGGCGGACGCGCGGCGGCCGTCATCTGGCCGGTGGCCGCCATGAATAAGTTGCAGTCGGCCGGCCGGCGGCTGTCACATCTGACCACTCCCGGTGACCAACAGCGCCGGCAGGCCGGTCAAGGTCACGCCAAGGTCGCCAGCAGCAGGTCCCGCCCACTGCGCTGACGTCACGGTTAGACAGCAGCCGCGGGGGGCGGCCACACACAGACAATAGTAGCTGAGCGGTCTGTTTGCCAATCAATGGAGAGCCGGGACCCCTGGGAGGCTGGCCGGCCTCTGCCCATGGCAGCATGCAGATTACGGTGTATCACCCGACTCCCACTGGATACAGCCGCAGGCGCGGTGGCTACTCGGTCTGGAGGTGGGCGGCGAGCGACGGGCGATCAGCGATGGAACGGTGGGCGGTGGGACGGTGGGCGATGGATAATAGACGGTGGTTGGAAGATGCTAGGCAGTAGCAGACGCGGAATGTAGACAGAAGGCTGTAAATAGCAGAGGGAAAACGCATGGCCATTGCTCACCTCTCACAGTAGGTCATGGCCCCCATTTTGTTCTTTTTTCTTTTTGTTCAATGTATGCCATAATGGTGATAGCAATGCACAAAGTATCATAGTAGGGACTAATGCCGGAGTCCCGTCTATATCTCCTGTCCACCTGCCCCATTGGTTTATCCGGAGTCGCCTGTCCATCCGTCCATCCCTGGTCCTCCATGAATCCTGACCATCCGTCCACCCTGCTCGTCTGTCCCTCTCTCCACGCCGCCCGTCGGCTGGTCGGCCGATGACCGTTCCCGGACAGTCGATGGATGGTTCAGTCGACTCGCTCGGAGCGCACTGCGGTCCACGGGGCCGCCCTAATCCGACAAACTCGGCCGACTGCGGAGAGGTCGCTGCGTTCCTGGTACGCCGAGGGCAGTGCTGCCGGCCCCCGGGGAGGTACTGCTAGTCGCGGCACGACCGGCAGAGTGCATTACACCGTCCCAACAGGTAAGACGGGGAGCCGGGCGGCCGGACGCAGCACGTGGCAACAGTGGGGGCTCAACTCGTCCGATACCATTGTGGTATTGAGTGAGAACAGATAAACTCATGCGGTAGCGAAGAGCGACACATTCAGCTCGAGTTTAATGCCTAGAGTGCTTCACCAGCTATTGTTGTTGTCTGTTGCTATGGAGCAGGTCATAAGCTTCCGTTAGTCACAGCGATCTATATAGGGGCATCCTTATCCACAATGACGCTATGCGCTTCCATTCACCAAATTGAGTGAGGCACTATAAGAGGATTGCCCGGGCTGATCACAAAGGATCGTTCTGAAAGGGTCATTCTAGTCGAATAATTTATTTGCATTTGGTTCTTGATCTTCGGAAGTCACCGTTGGGCCATCGTCTGAGCAATATAATAAATGCTTACGTAGCCCCAAGCGTTCGTCAGATACGAGACTACCAATATGCTGGCTCTCTGAAGCAGCTTTGGCTGATGACATCGCTCGCTGTGGCTTTAGGGTAGGGTGCTCTTACCAATCACTCAACCCTACATAAAGGAGCACAAATCTCGGTGGATCAATGTACCTATGTATGTAGATTGCAGTGAGAGCGTGTCGTTATCATGGTAGTCAAATACTCACAAAATATAAGTTAAACAAAAATGTTGTCAAAAATGTGATCATCATGCGCTCAATCCAACACTGACTATAAAATGTGAAAACTTGCCAACGCTCGTAAGTAGGTATTTGGTATGGCTTGCACTCCATTGCAAACGCCGCGCAAACCCGAGATCGCTAGGCTGCCTGGCTAGGTAGCGTGTTCCGCAGCACACTAGAGTCATGCGGCACAGCATACCATGCCAGGCTGCCTCCGTCTACCGAGAAGAACGCCGCGCCCGAGAGAGAAAAAGAGAGAGAGAGAGAGAGAGAGAGAGAGAGAGAGAGAGAGAGAGAGAGAGAGAGAGAGAGAGAGAGAGAGAGAGAGAGAGAGAGAGAGAGAGAGAGAGAGAGAGGAGAGAGAGAGAGAGAGAGAGAGAGAGAGAGAGAAAGAGAAAGAGTGTGTGAGAGGCGGGGAGACAGCTCCCGAGAAATGAAAACATCTGTCTTTGATACCTCTGCCGAGTGTTTTAGTTGCTTGCGTAGTTGAAAGGTAGCTCAATATATGTTCTATAATGGGTAATTTCATTCGACTTTAAACTTTCGGTGGAGAAGAACGGAAAACTTTCAAATGTGTAGTGTTTGAGTACGATTTTCAACATGATAGGTATTTGGTCAGTCTTGAAACGACACACACTTGTGCACTATAAATGAGATTGGCATTTTGTGCCGCAAGCTACGATGAGTTTTGCACAATCAAACGTGAAATCAAACTACAGCAAAAGAGTTACATCGCACGATCGTACCCAACTTTTTTAAGTTGGAAAGCATCAATCCTTGGTGTAGTTAATGCTAACACATTGTGCTAACACCAATGTTTGTGGGTGAGAAATGCTTGGGGTTATTTCTGACTATTCCATTTACCGAACTATTCTATATCGCGGTTCTGTAAAAGCCCGGACGTTTCTATAGGTAATGGCGTTAGACGGGCTCAGAAATAACCTCTCCTTGAGCGGAGATTTCTGCCAATCTGTGAACCCCTCCGACATCGCATCCGACACCCACCTGAGTGCATATGACGGGCCAGTTCGGCGGCGTACTTGTCCGAGAGCCGGGACACCTGCTCCTGTCGCAGTTGGATCTCGTAGTCGACGCCCGCGGCGGCGCGGCGGTGGTCCTGTGGCAACCGGGAGAGGCCTGGTCAGGCATCGGGTGATTGATAGTGACACCACCCACACCCACACCCACACACACACACACACGGCTGGTCAGGTGCATCATGGACTTCTCCTTCCTGTCAACACATGTATACTGGTCAGCGAGTCGTGGTGCCACAATCAATTCGCAATTCGCATGGGGTCTCTATGTAAATTGATCAGCTATAAGCCGTATTATGTGGCACGGTGCTCAGTTACCTCCGACTGCTAGTGATGCTATTTTCTAGTCTGCGGATCCTGTGTTTGGCTCCACGTCAATCCCGAATGATTGCTGACGTCAACGTTTAGCCAAGGGAGCTTATCCAGGCATCAACAATAATTATCTGAATTGATAGGATAGGCAGCTAAGCTTGATGCTGAGCTTGACAGACATTGATGGGTTGAAATTCGGTACGCTGGTAATGTATTTATAGTGCAATGCCCGGACTTAAAATGATCTAACCTTGGACGAGTCTCTAAGTGCTATGTCAGAAGCATCAATAGCTTACTTTGACAAAAAGGTTGTAATCTGATAGAAGTGTGGACTTTAGAGCCACATGTTACGCAAGAACCTGTATTATCTCGTAACATCTCAAATATATGAAACACGGTAAGTGGTTTCTTGTGGCAACACGCGTTCTCCCCAAACAAGTCTCAGCAGCGGGCCCTCCGGCTGGCTCGGGACACTGTCCAGCGGCCACGTGGTGTCACCCCCCCCCCCCCCCGTGTCCCAATGTCGATCGCTCTTCGAACAGACGGCGGCTGCTGTCCAAACGTCGCCCCATCAGCGGGAGGTCAGCCGCCGGCCGCCAGCCGGGATCATCATCAACCAAATGGACCCCGCAGAGCCAAACACTGGCGCGAAAAACGACCCACGCTCGCCGGCACGACGCAAGTCGCCAAACAATTGCGAGTGATTCCAGCCGCCCGCCTGTTCGGAATGAGCCAGAGACAGTGACGGCGAACCAATAGACTGGTCCCCGGGCGGCAGAAGTTCCTATGAAGGGTCGATGAGCGATGAGTCGAGCAGGCCGCGGCCTCCGGTTTTTCTGCAAACAGTTATCACAACAAAAGTCGGACTATTTGGCCGTATTTCAGCTAGCATGGAAGCTGTGCGGGGCTCAAAGTAGACCCGAGAAGCCAGCGACGGACGTGCCTTCAGATCGTGTCAATTTCCAGGTGCCCGTCGGGCACAGTCGGGCTTTCTCGACGGTCGTTCAATTTCGTCGAGGCTGCGTCTGGGAACGCGCTCTTGAGTCGGGCCGTGTGGTCTAGTCAATGTGAGACGCCGAGTCCAATGGGGAGACAACTTAGCGGGGAGTGTGTCGTTGCCGGTCGTACCAACTAGCGTTGTCGGCAAATGACGTTGTTCGGCCGCTTGCAATCGCGCTCGTGTAGTTTGCAGTGCAAACTTGAATACGCAGTTGTCCTTGGACTAGGCGGAAATTGTTGGGAGGTGTCAGTACTTAGGATTAAGTACACTTATAAGCGATCTCAGATAGAAAATGGTTGTCAATTATGTAGAGCGCACTACATGTTCAAATGTCAATAATCGTAGAAGCTGCGTCTCTCATATTCCAAGACAGAATAATTGAAGGTATGTGAGTGGATATGTAAATGCAAATCAACTACAAACATCATTCAGGATGTAAGTACGAGTATGTGTCTGGAGTTTCGATAATATAAATTTACGACACAATGAACCGTCAGGTAGAGTCCCAAGTGTGTGTGTTCACTTGTTCAGCAGTCCATACATCGACTATGTGTTTGCTTATCGTGGTCCTCTCTCACGGCTGTTGGCTCGAGTGATTGGTGGCACGAACAAACACAATAACCCAGGATAACCACATAACACAGGATAACCGCCGGCCGCGGGTGAAACCCGAGGATGTAGGGGTTTACTGCAGCGGAATAAGACGCTGTGGCTTTGCACGAACACAATGACCGAATGTTTGTTGTGAATCAAAGACGTTTTCTGATCTACAGTAGCCGTTTTCACGACGGGCTATCCGGCGAATGCACCTAATTTGACCAACTCTGCACCTAATCTCTTTTACAGCAAATATCTTCATTTTTTATTTTTTTTTTCAGTGTTTTAATCGATGATACTCTCTGATAATATGACAAAGGAGGCATAAATTAGTGCAACCCTAGCTGATAGCTTCTAAGAGATACACTGAACCTAATTTGACCAAATTGCACCTAATCTGCACCAAATGTGTACCAGATGGCCGTCGTGAAAACGGCGAATGAAACACAAACAAGGGGACCGAGAAAACGAAAACCTGACAAACATGAACCAACGTAATATAAACAGACGGAACGGGCCGCCATTATGCCGGTACTGGCTGGTGAGTACAGTCTGCAGCTCCGACCAGGCCACTGCAGGCCGGACAGGGCCAGACTCGGCGGCAACGTGCTCTCAACCAGTGAGATACACGAGCGATACGTGACCAGACTTCAGCGGGACAGACGCGGCGCGCTGGCGGCGAGTGGCGGCGCGGCGCCGCGCCACTCGGTGACAGCACTCAGAGCCGAGCTCGGTACATAGCGGCACTTTGTCCTGCTGACAACACAGGCCAAACAACGCAATATTGCGCGGCAAAAAAAAAAAACCGGCCATATTTCCGCGAGGATCTGGAAAATAGCAGCGGTACGTATTGTCCAGTGGCTCATCAATAGAAAAGCTTGGGGACGTAGCAGGTATCACGTTTTTATGAGATGAAGCAAGCTCCTCGAAATTTGAATGGGATTAAACATCCAAACGATAGGTACAATTTCGTTTCAATGCAATTCAGAATACAAAGCGTTTTACTGACGGCTTACACTAAAAATAAGCCCATAAAACAGCCTCTCATCATGGTTTATAGGTGTAATTGAGTATTGGATTATGTATGTTTTAACAGTGCATTATGAGCAAAGCGTTGCAATCTGCTCTTGACTAAAAAATGTACAAATAGTAGGTAGACTTCTACCGAGGCTACTTATTCACGGGCATTTTTAGTGACTAATATTTCGCATGCACAATTGACACAAGCACCAAGTGACATAAAAAAAACGCTTCATCTGACATCTTCTACTGATATTTGGTATCCAAGACCAACAAACTCCATAGCAACAAATCAACCATTACCTGCCCCAAATAGACCGAATCATCGACTGCCATTTATGGATGCGGCTCAATAACACGGAGCTACAGACCTGTCCATCTGTATGAGATAAGATGTATATCTGTGGAGGGGGAAATCACAGTTACCTTGGCGTCTGTGATGCCTCGCACGCGCATGGCGACCACGATGGCGATGGCGAGCAGCACCAGAGCTCCGACCACCCCAACCAGCACGCCGATCACGGGCCGCACCTCCAGCAGACTGTCCGAGCGGCCCGCTGTGCACCCAGACAGGTCACGGGTCAGGTCACGGGTGAGTCAGGAGGCAGGTCATGGGGTCAGGTCACAGCGAGTTGAGTCACAAACGGCAGCCGGGACAATAAACAGCAAACACGAGGTAGGTGTTTTAGATAATCCATGCACTTTCGGCACTTAGCTTCACGCTCCAATACTTCTATTCTACTCGTGTATCATTATTATTATCTACACTGCAACTTGTGCGCGTGGTAATTTCAAAACTTCCCGGATTGTGTAGTTAGCTGGTCCGTTACAGCACCTTTGGAACCCACTACGACTCTCTACGGTCGGTGTAAACGAGCACCCAGGTAATGAAATAACCAGCGGCTGTGCGCCTCCAATCAGACCAGCTCAATACTCTCCCGCGTGCCGAAGGTCCAGACATCCAGGCACAAACGGAGCTGGAATTCTAGTTGTGCTTCTTCTGCTTATACCCTTTTCCCTCACTCAGTTGAGCTAATAGAAAAGGCATTCGCTTTGTTTTTTCCGCTTTGATCGTAGGTATTCGTATGTTTCACCATTCCTCTCCACAAATACACGTTCTTCTCTCTCTCTCTCTCTCTCTCTCTCTCTCTCTCTCTCTCTCTCTCTCTCTCTCTCTCTCTCTCTCTCTCTCTCTCTCTCTCTCTCTCTCTCTCTCTCTCTCTCTCTCTCTCCCCCTCCCTCTCACTCACTAATTTGTCCTTGTTAAGTTGTTTACCTTACCCACCACTCATAGTTCAGGTGCTGATACACTTGAGAAACAGGCTCTGGAGAAACCTGAACACTACTAACCACTGCCTCACGTCTCTTGATACTACTTTCTCAACAAAGTGCACCGACTGCAGATTCTTAAACTTTATCTGTTTTGAAGAAGAAGAAAACATAATCAGACATTCCAAGATAAACAATGAACTATTGGATCTCATCTCTATAATCCTTAGTGAAGCAACTTGATTGACTAAAGTGGAATCACTTGGCACATAAAAATGTGTCGCATGTCCTTCTGAGGATACAACATTCTACACAGCCCACAGGCTAAGATACCACTCGCTACAAGCCGGCATCTAAACTAATTTGGCCCAGAATACAGGCAGAATTAAGGGCGTAAACCAGAGTACCTGCACCGAACGAGCTACATCGATCTCATGTGGCCTGGCAATGCCGTCACCGGCACGGGTCTCCTGCTACCGCCCGCCGCCGCTCGCGTTACCCCGCCTGCCGCCCGCCCGCCCGCTGCCGCTCGCGTTACCCCGCCTGCCGCCCGCCCGCTGCCGCCCGCCCGCCGACATGATAGCGCTGGCGGGCGGTACAGGCCACCGGCGCGGCGGCCGCCGGAGCCGCGTCTGTCGAGTGAAATCCTCGGACCGAGTCCCAACTGCCCCCGAGAGACCGGTGCCCCGCTATCTGGGGCGGCGCCGCAGGGCCGACAACCGGCTCGGCTTAGTCGCGCCGCCGCCGGGCTTATACCGGGCGCCGCGCCGCCCGCGGCTGCACGGGGAGGGAGGCTCGGCTGATGGTCCACCGAGCCGGGCGGGGAGCGCCGAGCGATGAGCTATCGCTGGGTTTGTTGGTAGGTTGCTGACATTGCCATGCATGCTGCAATGATGGACAATGACGGCGTTCGATTGAAAGGTTACGTTATATTTTGTTTTACTGTTTGTCTAACAAAAATACGGACATTGATGACACCGATTGTTTCACAAACCTGAAAGCAGCAAGTCCATAAGTGCCTATAAACAACAAGTGGTGAATTCTCAGCACTTGCTAGCTTTTCATCAACAAAATCAATCATTCAAGAAAGCTTACTTTCTCTTGAAATGCATTTGATTAATGATTTCGTGTTTCAGAGCAGCATCTTTCTAATCAAACTTAACCTAATGCATTTGTATGAGGCCCACGTTCTGTGATCAAAGTTATTAGGTAGTCATTTTTCCGGTATCACAAAAATAAACTGTTTTTGATGTTTTCATATCTTACATACTTTTATTAACTTCTCGTAGCCTCTGATGTCTAGATGACCGTAATTAAAATTTGGAATAGAGTTTGCTCTCAAGCTAAGTGGCTTAGGGTTGTGGGCTGTGCACTTCATTCACATATGACATATGTGGTATAAGACTCCACATTTTTAGCTTTGAACTGATGAAGCTGCCGCTTGAGATCTCAACTAAAGACAAATTCATTTCATTTTGAATATCAACATCCCCATAAGTTTTTTAACGCAACCAGTCCGTCATCAATTTTCTTAGCACAGCTCTCTTTACCATGTTTACCTTGCGCAACATTGGCAAGATTCCCAATCTCAAGAGCTGTGCAAACGACCTGCCTGACGGCTGCGTCTCCCGGTACTTCACCAGAGCGAGCGGCGGGCCCACTTTATCTGATCGAGCCTGTCCGCAGCAGCGCGGCGGTCGGGTTGATACGCTCCGATCCGCCGTGAGCCTGTGAGACCGACCCCCGCCGCTGACGGCAGCTCGTCTGTCGGTGCGCTAACAACTCACTGATCTCAGCTGTCCTGCCGGCGGCCGTGTCGACCGGCACCGCGGCCGGTGTGACGTAGAGGTCACTGCGGCCCCGCTCGTTGGAGGCGTGCAGGGTCAGCATGTAGCGCCGGCCAGGCACCAGACCGGGCACCTTGAACCTGGGGAACAGCGGGCGGGACGGGGTCAGGGGAAGTCGAGCCCGGGATATGGGGTCAAGAAAAAGAATAGCCAATATCTACATTCTATGCATTGTGTCGTGTTGAGGTGAGGAGCGGAAACGGAAAATATACGTTAGATCATACAATTATAAAGGCAGTTTATCGAGATAAAGTAAAAGTACTGCTCAAAGGACATAATAGTCAAACGGTGTCATCGTCACGCGATCAGCATATTGGGGAGCAAATTAACAGGATGGTGGTGCTAATCTCGCCTCCCATCAAGTGTGATATTCGTTCATGGACATTGCACGTGGATTCATAACCCAAACTCATGTCACAGTGCAGCTCATCGCGCTATCACGAGTTACGTCACATCACATTAACTGCTGCCGATCCCATAGCCGCATATGGGACCAGCCAAAAACCCGCGGGCAGCCACGAACCAATGTCATCTGCGATACCGCAGCCTCATAACAGTTTCTCGGCTATATCGGCCTGAGCCTGGTAAGTCGTCGGTCGGATAGCCCTGGGCGGATCGGGTCCAAGCATCGAGCAAGGCTCGGAATAGCTGAGTGTAGCCCCACATGAATGTTATATAAGAATGGCAGTGAAACGGGCTTTTGGGGAGGTCACGTCTGAGAGAGAGCGCTTTGCAATTGTTCCCGCTCACTTATAAACGAGATAAACGGGAAATATCGGCTGACCCTAGCCTACACTGCAATTTGCAGAGAGGCTTGGGAATCTTCCAGTAATGCAACGACTGTAACGAACAACCAATTCATCAGTAAATGCTCAGACTTTCTATATGGCGTCTATGAGCGCGTGCCGGCTGCAACATAGCACCACAACGCTTACCGAGAGCTCCCCTGCCCACCATTCCCACACCCATATCGATCGCCTAAGCCAAGCGGCGGCACCATTCCAAAGTCCGTATACATTTGCCTGCCAATCCGAGCTTAATTTATTTCAATTCGGAACGGATTAAAGCCAGTTTCCGGGGCAATAGCGCGGGGCGTGCTGGTCTGAATTGGACCGCGCGCACTTGTCCCGTAAAAACAGCCGGGCGACCGGTGTAACAGTCTCTCTGAACACTGACTGGGCCCGTGTGCAGCCTTTGTGACGGAGCAGCAGTGGTCGAGCGGTGACCAAGGTCGACTGAGCGAGCCCAGCCCAGTCCAAACATGTTAACGAGGCCTGGGAGGCAGCGGCACCGGGCGCGCCGACCACCGAATCACGCTCGGACGACTCGAAAAGGACTCAACAAGCTGTGAAGTGGGCCAGCCCGCAACGCAACGTCGGCCAACGCCCTGAAGACCTGGGCATTGGTGTACTGGTGAATTGTGTGCGGGGGTTGTGGGTGGGCAGTTTCTTGCAAACGATGCTCAACGCATGCTGAAAATGTACCTAAGAGTCGAAAGCAATGTTTTTTGGGTAACTGAAATCAGGTCGTTGTTCAGTCATTGTGTGCTAGTACTCGTAAAAATCTCTCACTGGACAAATGTCACGCATTTGTAAACATTGAAGCGCGCGGTTCGTAAACGAAGTTATTGCTACGCTCCAACCATGATGCTAATGAGATCGTGAGCGTGCAACCATTATGTGCAAGAAGTTTCAAGGAGCGTGAGATTATGGAGCATTAAGGTGAAAGAGTACGTCGAAACTTCTGCAGCAAGCAATAAACATAGCTATGCGGAACATTTATCATAACTGAGAATTCGAAGCAGAATTGCATAATGCATAATCCAGTCGGTAAAACAGGCATGTGAGCATGATCCGACTTCAGGTTTGAAATCCAGCACTTTGTGAGAATTGATAGTCATTCGATGTGACACGTAATACACGTAATACATGTAATGTAATGTAATGTAACGTACACGTAATGTAATGTTTTCGCCGGAGACAAGCAAACAATCAATTTGGGAAGATCGCTAAATGTATACTCATCGGCCAATTATGACACTCAATCGTGCTATCAACGTTTCTCTATTCACGAACACCCCGGGCCGTAAAGCCCACCTACCTTGGCGTCTCTGCTGTGCTGTTGAATACCACCGTGCGGTCCTGTGTATCCAGCACCTCCAGGTGAAAGCTCTGGCGCAGTCCGCCGTCCCCTCCGGGCTGACAGCTGACTGTCAGCGCCCGCGGTGACGTCGCTGTCACCTGACAGGAGCGCGGCCTCTCTGGACGGTCTGCCAAATCAGTGGACGGCTGTCAGTACCTACTGACAGCTCATCGGAGGGTCGCGGAAACTGAGAGGGAGAGGGGGGTAAAGAGAGGGAGACGTATGTGGATATACATTATTTTCTAATCAACTGATATACCTTTTTGTGTGAAACCGGCACCAATATTATCATTCTCTAATTTAACAACAACGAAAAACGTATCAGGGGATTTTGCTGATTCGCATTTCGGTTATTAACATTTAAAATGTTTAGTAAATAAAGTCGCGCTTGTAATTTTTCTCGCGACACCAACCATGGGGATAATGCATATAGACCGGTCATATCTTTCCCTCGCCGGGCATTTCCAGTGCCGTTCAAGGCCGCTTTAGTCCCGGGGAACCATTATCGAGCCGCGAGTGCAATAGATTTCACTTCACAGACTTCGCTGATAAACGGACAGGCTTTGATCTCAGCAAACTATATGAGTGTGGTATTATCACTATTACCAACGTTCTTTTCCGATATCTTTTCCGAGATCCGATACCACATAAGTTTAGTGGTAATATAGTTGTTATTTTTGTGACAGGAATATTAGAAAAGAGAAAAAAGGTTGTTGTCTTACATCGGCAAAGGGTTCCTGATTGAAGTAATCAAGCTGAACTTGCAAGTCATTAATATATTTCAGCGCTATTTTGAGAGACATTGCCAAAAATAGCTTATAATCCTCACTCTCTGCCCCCTATCTCTCTCTCTCTCTCTCTCTCTCTCTCTCTCTCTCTCTCTCTCTCTCTCTCTCTCTCTCTCTCTCTCTCTCTCTCTCTCTCTCTCTCTCTCTCTCTCTCTCTCTCTCTCTCTCTCTCTCTCTCTCTCTCTCTCTCTCTCTCTCTCTCTCTCTCTCTCTCTCTCTCTCTCTCTCTCTCTCTCTCTCTCTCTCTCTCTCTCTCTCTCTCTCTCTCTCTCTCTCTCTCTCTCTCTCTCTCTCTCTCTCTTCCCAGCTCCTCTGCCACCCCGTTTCTCCCTCTCCCTCTCCCTCTCCCTCTCCCTCTCCCTCTCCCTCTCCTCTCCCCTTCTCTCTTCCTCTCCCTCTCCCTCTCCCTCACTTTTTCTTTCTTTCCCTCTCTCTCTCACTCTCTCTCTCTCTTTCTTTCCCTCTCTCCCTCCCTCCCTCTTTCCCTCTCTCCCTCCCTCCCTCCCTCAAATCTCCCTTCCCACCTCCCTCTCCCACCCACCTGCAGGTCGCAGCGCGAACACACACGGCTCCGTCTGCCGGCCGACCGTGTTCTCTGCCCAGCACAGTAGCGTCCCGTAGTCACGCTGACTCTGAGTCGACACGCTGGCCACGCTGACTCCCTGTCGACTCCTAACGCGACTCTGAGGTAGCTCCTGGTAGGTCCCTGAGCGGCGCGACAGGAGGGAGGGACACGGGGGTCAGACGGGGTGAGTCGCTGTTAGGAACGAATGGGAAAACACTCAGTTGGGTGTGGAATGATGAAAAAATGTATACATGTTATACATTTAAACTGAAGGATAAATTTATGACAATTATGCATGGACAGGTGTTGTTACTTCATTGCCTCCACGCATTAAACATTTATTTTCGGTGTTGTGCTAACAAGTTTATACGGAGTATTCGTATAATTTCCAATTAGTACCATCATCAAGATAAGTTTACTTTTTATTGGTAGCTTTTGCATCGGTTAGATTACTTTAGCGACGGCGTAAAGTTGGATACACAAATGAACCACGCTTCAGGCGTATAAAAATTGCAAGTTGCTATAGAGCTAAACCTGTTCGTCAAGGCATCAATCGAGTACTTGCCTGTCGAGTTGAGCGCCCAGAAAAAGGTCTTTGGCGGCGGGAACGAGTTGACCTCGCAGGTCACGTTGACCGTCTCGCCTCGGGCGGTCTCGTAGGACCTTTTCTGGAACTGTTTGCAGTCGGGGACATCTGAAACAGCAGGTGTGACGTCATATATCTTCATATATCTTGGCAGTAAATTACTGGCGATAAGCCGGACTAGACTGCCTGAATGTCTCGCCACCCAGACCACAATATGTGATAGCCGGACAGGTGCATGCCACCTGCTGTCGAAGGGCTGCTTACCGCGAGGGATTGCGCTTCTAAAGGGAAGCTAAGAATTAGATTAAATTTTCTAAGCAGTACTATGCATTTTTAGCTCTATCTTTGTATTCTAAATATAAAATGATTGTGACGGATTTTATCCTAACGAAGTGTTTATAACGAAAAGGTAAATTGCATCAACTCGAAGGGGATGCGAGCATTGCGATCACCGATGTTCGTCGGCACAAAAAAAGAATGTTTTCACGTTCAGCATCCTGGTTATCCCAGTACCGTTTGTGCAGAGCCCCCAGCATTGACGCAGCTTCTATTCAGATGCCGGCGCATCAAGATCTCACTGAATATTCCTCCCCAACTTATCCGATTCGAGTGCTATTTACAACTTCAGAGTCCTTCGCTCAGTCAGCGGCTGACAGACAGATCCTATCACAGATATCGGGTATCGATCGCGCGGCCCGGCCGGGTACGATTGCCCGTCGATCAGTCATAGCGGACGCACAGCCCACGGCAGTGGTGGCTACAGTCAGTGTAATCCTGTTTACCCTGGATTTCTCCAGGCGCGTATAATCCTGCGACTTTTGACAGATTTAGAGAGATGATAAACCACAAGAAGGATTGCAGCTGTGAGAATCTAAAGCTGTGGAATCTAAAGCACAGAATTTAACCCTATTAGTGGCAGGCTCCTGGCTACAGCTGTGGAATAGAATCTGCCCTGAAACGACTCCAAGTAGGATATAAAATACATAGGTTACATACAGAGGTCTATGTTTACATAACTATCCAACGCCATGCATCAAACTTTGCTGCCTGACACAGCCTTTGCAAACAAAGAAGGGTAAAATTCCGCCTCCTTGCATGCACGGCGTTATAAATATTGCACCTAATCATTTCGCTCAATTTCCATTCACTCCTCAGACGTATTTCGGTCACCCATCTCGGTTCGACATCCCAGATCGCTGTTTCAGAGCCTGTAAGCAAGGTTCGCGTTCGGTTTCTGGCTCGTTTGACTACAACGCATCCTACCGCCGCAGCAGCATCTGCGTGCAAGCAGGCCATCCGCCGTCCCCGGGAGCACAATGGCCAAAACAAAGCTGTCTTCGCCCGTCGTGCGCCGTTGAAGTGGCGGCAAATAACGCCTTATTTTTGCTGATCATACCCCCGGGGGCTCTGGGGAGTGCGATCAGTACGACGAGCGAAGGCTCCAAACCGCACGTGGTTCGTGGCAACGCACGCACCCACGGCCAGCAAATGGTGGCTCCAGACGCCGTCGAAGAAAGTGGCGCACTGGCGGTGTGCGCGGCGACAAGTGTTAATGCGTCCGCTGAGAGCGGAAAGGGAAAGGGAAAGGGAATGACAGGGTGACCTTGTATGACGATTCTAATCCCAAAAGCTGCATCGCATCTACATACAATGCATTTAGACAATGAGATTCAAGGAACGTGCTGGGCGGAATCTTGAAATGGTAATGAAACTGAATATCATCAGTGACATGATTCTGTTTATGAGAGTGCCTCATTATCATTGCAGTGCATGTTGGCATGAGTACCCCATTACTATGGCATGTTTTGCTGGACGTACTAATTATGACATATGAATGCGTTTTGGAATAGTAAGGCAAGGGCAAACAAATCTAGTTATGACGACTAATGACATGCATGACGATATGAAACAAAACAAGGCTGATGTACCAACAAAGCAAAAATATATTTTGACTCGACATTATGATGCACCACGCCACAGTGTCCTTATGCCTTCTCGCCAACACAAAGTCATCTTTCTATACACAACAACTATTCTGCTTGTGCATCCGTCCCGGTCCTTCCCAGCCCACGGTCCTCCGTCAAGCCAAATAAGAACACACACAGCGCGGCAGCCGGGGCATTCGCATAACGGTGGCGCCCCTGCGAGGGACGCAGCGGAGCCGGAAGCACATCGCATTCACTCGCATCTCCATCACCGAGCACGTAATGTATCGCTGTCGGCCGGCGCCCGGGGACGACGTCCGCCCCCCTCCTCTCCGCCCCACCCCCCCCCCCCCGGAGGGGTGTGGGGTGTCCCCGCCCAGTGACACTCGTCCCCACGCCTCGCTGTTGTCCGCCCACCCTCCTGACATGACAGTAATGCTTTACACCATGTGTAGTGTGTGCCTACAACAGTCAACTCCTCCCTTTTCGCCCCTCACAGACTGCGTATCCGCTGACATAAAGACACGCTCGTTCTTCCGCGCCTCCCCCTGACACACGCAGCCTCCCTCCACCCCTGATCAGAGTCACGCATATATGCAGATCACCTTTTGAGGGCGCCGCTGAGTGACGGACTGGCCCGCCCTTATGTGCCTCCCCTGCTCTCCTCGATAGCTTGTGTGAGGCCAGGCCCGCCCAACATCCATACATCCGCGGGGGGGGGGGCGCTCCCGCGGGCCCCTCTTATGTTCGACGGGCAGATGAAGATGCTAGTGCGCCCCTCGTCCTTTGCTCCGCAGCCCTTAGCTATATTTTGCTCGCATCGTCACTCAGCCCTTATGCTCGTGATTCGTCAACTATCGCCATCACTCATCACTTCTGCTTACTTCTCTTTTCTTATTAGTTCGAAGAACAGCTGATTAGGATCAGTTGCACTGCTACCTCACTCGTCCTTGGGACCATCAATTCCTCTCTTCCAGATTCTTCACGACCCCTCCTTGCCTCCTCAGCCCCAGCCCATTTCCCCGTATCCCTCACCCTGGCCTTTCCTTCTCCTCCAGCAGCTATCATCCCCCTGCTACTCACGTCTGACGGGTAGGTAGAGCTGGTTGCTGCGTCCCTCTCCCTCGCTGTTACGGGCCGCGCACGAGTAGTGCCCCACGTCCCGAACGGAGACTCCACGCAACACCAGCGTGCCGTTGGTGATTTCAGTCAGCCCGCCGCTCGAGTTGCGGTTTAGCGGCCGCTCCTGTCGATAACAGAGCCCAAAACAGATATTCAGGGTGGGTGGGAGAGATTTAAACGAACATAGAGGCATGGTGGGTGGGCGTGTGAGAGGTATTGAGTGAACAGAAAGCATATGGTGTGTGCGTGCGGAGTATTGAACCATTAGGAAACAGCTGATATGAGCACCTGAAGTGATAGTTATTGAGCGTGCAGTTCGCAGTCGAACTCGAGCGCTGCGAGTGATAGGTGACGAACAAACAGCTGGTGTGAGCGTTAGAGGTATTGATCGAACCAACAAATAGCTGAGCTGCGCTTGAGAGGTGTTGAACAAATCATTTATAGTTGAGGTGTGTGAGATAAGTGTGGAACAAACAACCTGCAGAGGTGTTTTCCAGTTACCCGGGACCAGGACCGTGGCAGCAAAGCATTACAGATATAATTGATGGGCGCATTGGTCCGAGCTCCGTTAATCGGTGTGGTTTTGGATCGGTATGGATTGTTATGGTTTCGTAGTATAATCAGCTGCCGTACTTGCAGGTGAGGACACGGCCCCCCTGGGCAACGCGAGACGCTAGCTGCCGCCACCGCTGGCTATGGTAATGTGCAGAGCAAACAATGAGCAGCCGACCAACTCCGGACTCTGGGCACTAATTGACGAGTTAATAGCCAAACCACGTACGCTATGCCGAGCATATCTCATTGGCTATGATCCTACGACAAGAAGTGATCCTAAAGACCAAATAACTCGCCAAAATTTCAACATTTTAATCAGTTTTCTCCAACGAAATAATGAAAATATTCTATCTCAAATGGCCGACGCTGAATAATTGCTAATTTCGCGACTCCAATGTTCTCTGTTGCCAGGCCATCTGGCCGGATCCGGATGCCGCCCATGGAGTGGCCGCCGACAGCCTCTACTAGCGAGCGTCCGCGGCGGCGCGCTAGGCAGTGTGGCGGAAGTCGCTCAAAGGCGACTATGGCGCCCGCGGCGAAAAACGGCCCGGGAGCCGGCCGTAACCGCGCCATATAAAGATGGGAGAGCGGCCGGACGGACGGGAGGCGGGACGGCACGCTGTCAGTCCGACCCTCTATCAGTTAGACCCTCTGTCAGTTGGTCAGTCGGTCGGTTGGTCAGTCGCTTGGTCGATAGGTCGGTCAGTGTGTAGGTTTGTCGGTCAGACGATTTATTTTTTAGGACTGTAGTGTTTAGGCTACCAGATCGTCGGTCGGCCCGTATCTGTCTGTCTGTGTCGTCCCGTCACTAGATCCGACAGTCTGTTTCTGAGCCGATCTGCCGATCAGTCTGTCGTTCCCGTCTGTCAGTAGGTCTGTCAGTCTGTCCGTAGGTATGCCAGTCTGTCGGCATGTCTGTCAGTCTGTCGTTAGGCATGTTAGTCTGCCGATAGGTCTGTCTGTTGGTAAGTATGCCAGTCTGTTCGTAGGCCTGTCGATTCGCTGGTCCGTCTCCGTCTTTCTGTCAGCTAGAAATGTACTGTGTCTTTCGGTGAATTTACCACTTGAAGAATTTCAGGCCTTGCAGTAATAACGTAGAGCACGGCATTCGGGCAAAAGCAGACGCAATTAGTGCGTGCATATTTTAGCCTCATTGTATTACGCTCACTGCGTTGATACACAAAACAAATATTGTTAAAATAACACCATCATGTAAATTTCTCGTCTCATAAAGCTGTGCCAACGAGTTTATCTCCTTGAAAATGCTCGGCTCGGCTGGACTGAGATAGTCTGGGGCCGGTCCCTAATGCAATTTGTCGTATAAGTTGACGAGAAACCTCACGGGTGCCTGGCTGTAACTACATCCGGGCCGGGGTGGGGACGGGAGCGGGGCGGCGGCGGGGGCGGGGGCGGTTCTGGGCGGGGGCCGGCGGTGATCTGCGCACAGCACACAACCTTATACTCGTATGAGCGGGTGTGGAGAGGGTGGATGGAGCTCCAGGCCGCCGCGCCGACGGGAATGGCCTCCGCCGCTGAGGGGAGTGCCGACGAACCGTGCTGCCGCTCTGATTAGGGCGGGCAGCGGTCTGATGTCCCGGCCGGCGACCAGACCCGACAACGGGTCATGGTCGCTGCTCTGAGAAACTCATAATTAACTCCTGCTAAGGATACCAGGGGCAGAATATACCGACGGCTGATTGGGGTAAGGAAAAACGGTGTCCAAGTGGTAGGTATAGTCAAAGCAGTGATGCAATGCAATGCTCACTTATTCGACTGTGTATGCTAAGCAACATAAATTTGAGAATTGAGCGTATATCATTTCATATACCTATATGAAATGATGATATATATGAAATGTTCATATGAACATCTGCTGTAAATTGTCACAGCATCAGGGTGCGTGGAGATTCATAAATGATCAGACCAAGACGTGTGGGTTATTTTACTTACAAACAATACCTATGTAAAGCTGGCGCGGCGAGTGGAGACTAGCGCCGGTGTACTGTAGGCATTGACTAATGCATTATGCATCCCACACCATTTTAACCCGCGCACCGACGGGGGTCTGCGCCAACTTCGCACCGACGGGGGGGGGGGCGGATGACCGCCCCCCCCTGAGATCTCGAGAACGAAGCAAGATAGCGACAAGCGGTAAACGGCATCGGATACGCACGGCCAAGATCTACAATTTTTACTATGGTCATTTTCAGGTCAGGTCAAAGATGACGTCACAGGGGTCGAAAAAGTCAAAATGGCGGCGCTAGATATGGAGAGAGTTTTTCTCGAATAACTTTCGAATTAGTCAAGATAGGAACAAACTAAGGGCATCATCGTGATCCTCTCGTCAATCCGCATCGAATGATATATATGTTGACCTCGAAAGGTCAAGGTCAAAGGTTGACCTCAGGTCACGTGACCTCGAGGTCATCATGTATATCATTCGATGCGTCTTGACGAGCTGAACACAATGAGACCATCCACGCGTCTGTATCTTGTTCCTGTACGGAGTTATTGGCCAAAAACCTTTGGTGACCTTTGATGACGTCACATGACCTCACAGCTGCCCAACAGAAAAACAGACCTCAAGGTAGTGAAGGTTGATCGTATATGAAGTCATGTATGGTATATGGGGCCATTCCGACCCGTTTTAGTGGTAAAAACAGGGAGTTGATTTTTCCCCCATTGACTTATAATGGGGAGGTCGCGAAATTGACCTGACCTTAGGTCACCGATATCAAAATTCCGAGATATACAAATTGTAGCTACTAATGACCTAATGATATCCTGCGACTTTCAAAGGCCTCCGACATCTACTGTAGCTCTGGCACGGTGACAAAGTTGCAAAAAAGTGACTTGAGGTTGGGTCATTCAAAGTGACCTGGTAACCTGACCTTAAAAGGTAGGAGGTTCAAACTTGCACACCATGTGTAAAATTGATGAGGTTATAGTCATACCAAATTTCGCGGCGCGTAGCGCCGCGGTTTTCCCGCTATTTGCGAAAAACCTCAGGGGGGCGGATATCCGCCCCCCCCCCGTCGGTGCGCGGGTTAAGAGCCACGGGAGGGCCCAAACGCCGAATAATGCTAACAAAACAGAACAATACGGGCCCTCCCAGCGAACCCACCGACGGAAGTTGAGGGTCGAGGCCGCCAAAAAATATCAATACGGCCGAGAAACCGACTCACGTTCAGCCTCCACTCGATGCTGTGTGCTGGGGGGTCGGCGCTGATATGGCAGCCCAGTATGACGTCGTCACCCTCCGCGATCAGCTCTGCGCCTCCGTGTGGCGACTGCAGCTGTATCGTGACGACTGGCACGTCTGAAAATGACGTCAGAAATCCCGCGTTAAGACCGCTGGGTGTCGGGAGATTTGGTCGTTCACTAAGTGAAGTGGCGTGGTAACCCAAGGGTGATGCTGTCTCAACCACTACTTCAATGAAGGAAGTTGTGAATGGCTGTTGCGAGCTTTTATATTTGTTTGACAGTTGTAAATTGTAATAATGCAACGTAAAAAACATGGCTTTTAACTGTAGTTCTAGAGGCACAAGAAGATAATTCTTCAAACTGAATGCCTCGAAAAAAAATCTTCATTAAAGCAGGATTACCTATTTGACCGTAGATAACATTACTAAATATGATTTTACTAAATGAATTTCTAGCCATTTGAACTTTTTCTATCTCGGATATCACATTTAAAAACTAGCGGCCGAAACGTGAATGCATGCATCAAAATAATATGCAAACCAGCTCCCGATGGTAAACAATCACCTCGCTTGCCATTTTCAATAGGGTGTATTTTCATTTTGTCAACAAATTGATAACGATGCTATAAAACGCCTGACCAGAAGAGCAATCAGTATTATCAGTATGTGACCTTGCGATTGCTAGCGAAAACCCGAGAAGAGACGCTAGAGGCGCGGCTCCCTATCGTTTGCCCGGAGAGAAAAATCCCGATCAGTGCCAAGTTGGCAATGCAAAGAGCGACCGATAAAGGAAGAAATACCGACGCCTATCGCTGTCTTATATTGCCCTTTGGTTCCAACAACTGTCATATATTCCGATTTGCGTCTCTGCGGAATATCTGTGCCATGAATTCTAAAAATAGCCCAGCTTTTAATTAAGCTATGCAGGATCCGGTGCACCCCTCTCGAGGAAAACCCTCCACTCTGGGAAGCTCGTCATCAAGGCTCGCCAACACACGGAGCTTAGCAAGAATGCAAACATCATTGAAAGAACTAGCTTAGAACTTACGCTAGCATCCGCAGAAGCAAAAAAAACACACACACACACACACACACACACACACACACAAGTATTTTAATCCAATAGTGAAACTACGCTTTCCGACTCCATTTAACCCGCGCCCGGCTGGGGGTCCTGGATTTCCACGCCCTGCTGGGGGGGGGGGGGTGTTTGAACACCCCCCCCCCCCCTTGTAACTCGGCTCCTGGGCCACGTAGCGATACGCGAAAGGCGGCGTTCGAAAGAGCGTCAAAAATAATGACGAAATCACTTCGGTCAATTTTTTGGTCAGGTCAAAGGTCAGGTCACCAGAGGTCATTGAAGGCAAAATTTCGCCGATTTCCAGGTCGAATGTCGAAAATTTCCAAGAAGCCAACGCATAACTCGGGAACCAATAGAGCTACAGCGCCGCGGAAAAGCGCATTCGATAGCCCTATTAACGCCCTTTCTGAGTAATTCTCTCAGATTTGACCTAACGTCACTGGTTTTGCCTGCAGGGGGCAAAAACTGCAAAAATAGCCGATTTTTTCGGAAACAGTTTTTCGGCAATAACTTTTGACCCAAGCCTTGTACGAGCTTACTTTTACCGGCATCGTGTTCCTCTCGTCAAGACGCATCGAATGAACTATAACTTGACCTTGAAAGGTCAACTTGAAAATTTGACCTCAGGTCAAGGTCATGACCTGACCGGAAAGGGTCATGTTGCATATCAGTCGATCCGTATCGTCGAGCTGAACACATCTAAGGCGTTTTCATCGCTCTAGCATGCCTCTATCAAAAGTTATTTGCGAAAAACTGTTAGATACCATTCGTGACCTAAGATGACCTCAGGGCATAAACAGGGGTCACGGACACCATTTTCATGTTCAGTGTGTCTAAACCACTTGTAATTCAGTGTTTGGGAGTGTTTATAATGTCTTCCGTCCAAAAGAGGCGCATTTCAATTTTCTCCCATTGACTTATAATGGGGAGGTCGCAAAATTGACCTGACCTTAGGTCACCGATATCAAAATTCCGAGATATACATTTTATAGATACTGTTACCCTTATCAATCGCTGAAAGTTTCAAAGCGATCGGTCACTCGGTGTAGCTATGACAGACATTGAAACTTTTTATGAGGTGAGGTCACTTCAAGTGACCTGGTGACCTGACCTTGAATGACCTTGGTCTGAAATTTTCACAACATGTGTAGAATTGATGTATGATAAGGTGTACCAAAAACGGCGGCGCTCCGCGCCGCCGTTTTTGAGATATTCGCGAAACACCACAAGGGGGGTGTTCAAACACCCCCCCAGCAGGGCGCGGGTTAATTAAACAACCAAACGGTGAACGCCATATGGCCAGTCGGCTGCATAAATGGGCGAAAATCACAGCATGGTCTGTCCGCTAGGAGCTGCGAAATTAAAGCATTCCTGGTGGAACGCTGCTTGCGCTCCGTGACAGTAACTGTCGTTATCTATCCAGCACACGCTACTTGCAGAGACAAATCCGACGAACGCTGGCGGACGTCTTTTTCCCAGTAAACTTCATTGCATTTTATTTGGCACGTGGCACTGTCTGCTTGCTCTGCCGTCTCTCTCTCACTCTCTCTCTCTCTCTCTCTCTCTCTCTCTCTCTCTCTCTCTCTCTCTCTCTCTCTCTCTCTCTCTCTCTCTCTCTCTCTCTCTCTCTCTCTCTCTCTCTCACACACTCTCTCTCTCTTTCTCTTTCTCTTTCTCTTTCTCTCTCCTCTCTCTCCCCTCTCTCCCTCATCCCCTCTGCCTTCCTCTCCCTCTCCATCCCCTCTCCTCTTTCTGTCTCCCTATCTGTCTCCCTCTCCCTCTATACACCTCTCTCTCTTTCTTTCTCTCTCTCTCTCTCTCACTCTCTCTCTCTCTCTCTCTCTCTCTCTCTCTCTCTCTCTCTCTCTCTCTCTCTTTCTCTCTCTCTCTCTCTCCCGAGCTGCTCGCCGCAGCCCAGACCTGCCCAGCCGGTGTAACGACAGCCGGAGACCGCCACGTGTCGCTACCGCCTGAGATCCTGAGGGAAATACTCACCGAAATTAGCCTGAGATTGGAATACTGCGGCACCAGCACCCGGCCGAGCTTCATTCCCCAATTGGCGACCACATTTGCGTGTCGTTCAAATGTGACTTGGGTAAGGAGGTGGGCGGGAGCGAAGCTATAGTTGTTACCCTGACACCATTGTTGGCTGGGGGATTGAGTGAGAGAGTGTGAGAGAGAGAGAGAGAGAGAGAGAGAGAGAGAGAGAGAGAGAGAGAGAGAGAGAGAGAGAGAGAGAGAGAGAGGACGCGTACTTCATTCTAACGTTGCAGGCTCAAACCCAACGCTATAGGTAGCGCCAGGAGAATTTCCACAAACACTTATCTCACAATCAACTGCAATCCCAAGACAATATCAGCTAAGAGCCTGCCAGCTAATCATTCATCCGACGATACCGAGAATCGTAATCGCTCAGCGCTTATCACGCACTGATGGTGGTTTGCATAATCCACCCCCACCCCAAAAAATCTGCCCAGCCCTGGCGACGTTCTTTTTTTTTTTTTTGCCATAGAGACCGTCATCTAACATTATCTCACCGTTGTCACATCATCGTATCTCGCTCAGAAAAAAATCGCCCTTTCTCCCTCCCCCCTCTCTCTCTCTCTCTCTCTCTCTCTCTCTCTCTCTCTCTCTCTCTCTCTCTCTCTCTCTCTCTCTCTCTCTCTCTCTCTCTCCCTCGCTCCGCTCTCCGGCAGAGCGCGCGGCCCGCTCTCGGCCCGTCGCTCTCGCCGGCAATGGATGCCACTGGGTAGACAGACAGTGATCGATCGACAGATCGCTGGAGAAGTGCCATCCCGACCGGGTCGGCGCCGCCCCCTTTTGATCGTCCGATCTGCCGATAACGGGGCTCGACAGCGCTCCGAACCGCTGCGACAGATCGACGGCCGTGTCGAGCTCGACGCGGAGCGGCCACGGCCAACAGAGGGAGCGAGGGACGCTATTGAGTCTCAGCACAAAGTTATCATTGCCGTGCTTCATGTAAAACACAACCTGCAGGCTACGTACATACCTTGTAAATACATACCAAGCGGTGTTGTTTTTGTGAACGAGATGTGGTAAGCTTTGCGGAGTCCCTCACCGAGTGATTGAATTGAACGCAAGGTTTCAAAGGGTTTGTAACAAATAAGATCATCATCTTCAGAGTGAAACCAAATGAAACGTAAAGAGATTAAATGCCGAGATAATAGATACAATTACGAATTAAACATGTTACGTGCAAAGACATCTCCACTAAAAGATGTCAAGTTGCCTCGAAAAGCTACTTCAAATCTTCTCAGACACTAAGACTGTGCTTAGGTTAAGTTTGAGTCTTAAACGAAATAAGGAAAAACTTATCCCAATGAACCCTCTTCTCGTGTGTATGTATATCATATGTGAATGACTGACGCATCACGTGTATTGTACCGCAAAAGTGATAGTGATTGAAATGACCGACTACATGTGAGTACCGAGGCTTTACAGTAAAAACGAGATCAAAACGCATTAAATAACTTACTCTTCGCTGCATGATTGTTGACAGTGTTGTAGAATATCTATGCCACCCACTTATCCGTCTTGTGAGAAGATCCTTCCTAATCTAGCATGTTCATAGCATCACATTTAACGATGATCACCAACACCACTTACGAGCGGGCCCGGTTGTAACCGTAAGCCCATCGGTTCTGCCAGCTCACCACTCCCCGCCCCATTAAGTCGGCTCCTGCCGCGCGCCTCTGTATCATGAGCGGCCCGTGCCCGGCTCTCTGCCCGGCCCACGGACCGGGCCAGGGTGGGCCGGAGGGCCGAGGGGGCGGGGGGGGGGGGCGGATCTGCCATCGATTGTCTCTTGGTCAGCGTCTGGTCAGCTGTCTGTAACCGGTCACACTGGCAGTCGCTGCCGGCTGACGCATCGCCAGAGGAAGCCGTTCGTGTCGGAAGGGCCCTGAAAGATGTGGCGTTGAAAACAGCTCCGAAGCCGGGCCGTTTCGGCCGCGCCGGCGGCTTCTGAAGGGTAAACTTTCCAAAGATAGCGCCGTTCTCCATGTTAGAGTGGTAAACATCCACCGAGTGGCGTTTCTGAAGTTGGATTCAATGTAGGGAATTACCGTCAAATCTAAATTTAGTGTATGTACGCATTGACGCATTACGATAGGTATTGCGTTGTGGTATCTGTAGGTACTCACAAAGATAGTGAGCGCCATTGTCACATATGTAGGTACTCTGTACTCTGTCTCTGTCACATCTGTAAGTAGATGGTGAGAGCCATTTTCACATATTCTGTACTCACAATAGATGGTGAGCCTCCAGGACTGTTCGATGACCTCCGCCATGAGGTCGGTGTTGACGGCGCGACACTTGACACTCTGTCCACTGTGTCCCACCTGCGGTGTCAGTGTCACGGTGGACACCGTGCGGTTCCCGTCGTCAGTGACACGCTGAAATGACAAAGAGTGGGTGACGTCATCTATATCGTGACGTCAGCTTCTGCTCGTGACGTCACCGCTACTGATGCGTGTTGACATGGCCGGTGTCTTGCGATGCTAACAGGAATGTATTTTGATTCAGGCCGCTGCAAAGTGCAAACTATGCACGGCGTAACTTTGGGAGAAACCGCACAGACACTATTATAATAATTAATAATTATTGTTGTTGAGGCAAATATGGCCGTCTGCCGCTGTTCTTCAGAAACTATTTGTGAGGTAGGTATTACTTTCTGACACTTGACAGTGCTGGTATTAGCGACCAACGCAAAACAGTTTTATTGAGGCTTCCCAGTATAGCGGATAGGAACTAATGACGCTCTGCACAGAGGCCCGGGAAGTCCAATTGCCCGAAGATCTCAGAAGAATGCTAATAAGCCAGCAGTTAGTGACGGCAGCCAAACCATTTATCAATCAGCGGAGTAGCGGGGACGGAGACTAACTGACGCTGATTGGTCGAATATCTGTCATTATACTGAGAATGTATCAGATGAGGCTTTCATCAGCCTGGTGTCTTCGCTCTAAGAAAGCAGCTACCTACTGCACATTACAGCAAATGTGATAGCTTCGGCAAGAGCTGAGTGCAATGCGCTCGTTCATAGATGTATGTGGGGGTCAGATGGCACTGAGCGACCAATGGAGATGGTTGCAGCGTTGCATTGATGTGAATCACAGCCAATATGGACAAATCGTCACATTTTTGTAACAAGTGGAACTCGTTTAACGTCTTTTAGAACGACAATAGTTCGATTCGACCGGAAACAACAGACCACGTCTAAGGTGTAAAGAACTGCACATAATAAGCAGATGGCAATTGTAATTCAACAATCAGTCGATCTTCTGTTATTCAGCTTTCAATTACATTAACTTGAAACGGTAAATGCAATATTAGCTGCTCAGTTCAATATTCGATGGTTATTTTTGCCCATAAAGTGGAATTTCAAAAACACTTTACGGAAACTTTGTTCGTTCAGCCAGCCTAGCCGGTTTTATTCAACACAGGACGGCAACATATCGGAGGAGAATATGCGAGATGAAAGCGTTGACCTTGTCCCAAATCGCACATTTACGATAGCGGGAAGGAGGGGAAATATCCAACCGTATTCGTGTCCGATAACCGTGCACATAAAGTGTTCTCTACATCCGCTGTGGGCTGCGCAATCAACGAAAACGACACACAGCACGATTCACGACAACAAATGTCCCAATAACACGCGCTAAACAGACGCCTAAGACAATAAAACAAAGGGTGATACCACTAAAGAAGACAGTTCGATTACTGGAATCCTCATTCCTCAGAGTCCAATCAATTACGCATAAAAGGCCCCGTTGAAAAAAATGACGACTCAAGTGTCGCAGACATTTGTAGGCCTTTGTCGGTCGTAAGGAGCGCGACCAGTGGGAGTGGGACCAGTGTTGGACGGTGGTGGGGACGGCGGCGCGCGACAGGGCCCGACCGCGCACAAAGGCTCATGCTAGAGTGGGACCATTCAGCCGTAGACGCTTGTGCGAGGCGGACGCGTTTGCCTGTGGCGAGCACTGACCTGGGTGACCTCTGTCAGCTTGCTGTCGGCCATCCACCAGGTGATGATGGCCGCGGGTCGTGACCCGACCGTCTCACAGGTCAGCTGGTGCCGCCGGCCCGCCGAGAGCGGCAGGTTGGCGCCCAGAAACGACACCGTCAGCGGCTTCACTGCGGAACAGAGACAAAAGTCAGCGGCTTCACTGGTAGACAGATCAGCGGCTTCACTGCGGAACAGAAACACCATCAGCACTGAGGCACAGAGACACCGTCAGCGGCTTCATTGAGGATCAGAGACACCGTCATCGGCTTCAAACAACGACACCGTCAGCGGCTTCAAACAACAGCGCCGTCAGCGGCTTCAGTGAGGAACAGAGACAAAAGTCAGTGACTTCACTGCAAGACGACGAAATCGTCAAAAATGATATTTTACATAGCGTTTTCTGTGCTTATAACGAAACTAATTTGCACTTGATCATGATCACCAATCAAAGTAGCTATATAGGTATTAAACACGCAGCAATAGGGGAAGTTGGGGGAACGCCGAATACTTTTTTTCTGACGCCCGTAGCACGCAAGGTAGACAACATAAGTTATTCTTGTTGGCGTCATTCGAGAGGCCAGTCTTTTGTCTTTCAAACATACCAGGCGCATTTGATGAATTCGCATACCGTTAAGCGCAAAAACTAAAAATATCAAAGAACTGACTTTTTCGGCGTTGCCCCGGACTGCGGGGAAAGCCGAGAATGGGATAAATGATCTACGAGGAATGCCGACATTGATGTTTTGCCAATTTATCTCAAACTTTATCCAAAATTCATCAAAGCTGACACGCGTTTTAACCCTCGCCGGACCTATTGGTTTTCTACATACGCGCCGGCCGAGGGGGGGGCGGGTACGACCCCCCCCCCCTCGCCGTTTCGCCCCTGGTGGAGCTAGCGCGTCGCGGAAAAAAACGAGCGTGTGCGCCGTTACGAGACGCAGAGATTGGTACCCGATTTTAAGGTCCTAGGTCAACCGGTGACCTCTGAGGTCAGGTCAAGTGCCCTAAGGTACGGTTCAGTTTTTGGTGAATAACTTCGCAAAAAAACGGCCGCAGAGCGCCGATTTTGGCAGCATCGTGTTCGCCTCGCTCCGGCGCGTCGAATGATACACTTTTTGTCCGGGTCAGGTCAACTTGGGGTGTCGACCTCAGGTCAAGGTCAGGTCAGCACCCCCAGGTCACGAAGTTGGTCGAAAGAGGTCATGTCGCATATCATTCGATTCGGCAGGCCTTCCTGAGTCCATTGGTGCCTTCCCCGACTCGCTAGCTCAATTTGATCAAGAGTTATTGACGAAAAACTAATTTGACCTTGATGACGTCATAAATGACGTCACGCAAGGTCAACATTGCAAAAGTGACGCATCTAACCTTGCAAGGAGTGCATCAAATCACGATTCTGTGTGCTTGAGATAGTTGGAGATCGTTCCCGGCGCCAGAATAGCAGTTTTCATTTTTCCCCATTGACTTATAATGGTGAGGTCACGAAAATGACCTGACCTCATATGACCTTTAGGAAAAATCCGAGATATACAAGTTGTGGGACTCATAATGGATACTAGATCCTGCAAGTTTCATTTCCCTGTGACATCTCCTCTGGCAGTGAGGGCGTTGCGAAGTTGCGACATCTGAAGACCGTGCAGAGGTTCACTTATGACGTCATAGGTCAGTGACCTGACCTGACCCAAAAATGCGGTTGGTGTCAAAAGATGCGGTTTGGATCAAAGGTCAGGTATGCCAAGTTTCAGCTCTCTATCGCCAGCGTGTTCGGAGCTATCGCGAAAAAACCCTATGGGGGGGGCGGCACCCGCCCCCCCCCCCCCCCCCTCGGCCGGCGAGGGTTAAGAGCTTGAGGACGCTTGGTGCACACTGGAAGTTATAATTGTGTGATTATGGTGTGATATAATGAGAAAATGCGAGGTAGATCATTCCTTATAGGTAACAGGCCGTTGTGCCGGCTGAAAGTGTAATTTGTTTGACTAAAGATACGCGTTGCTATTCTACAGCAGTAAAGTCCACGTAGCGTGCTTTAACGTGCGTAATTGCACGTTTTCGGCATTACCCCAGCCAGCCATACTTTCATTTGCAGGCCCATAACTTCTGAACGTGCTGTATGAATTTCAAATAGGCAGCACACTTATGCAAAGACATGCTGAAGATTACTTGACCGAATTGGCCAGACAAACGGTAGCATAATGAGTAAGAAATGCACCTTCAAAGGCGCATGTAGTACAAGGGAAACGTACCTTGAAAACGCTTTTGGCGCCCTCACAGCCGAAGTATTCCAAATGACGACTCGTAACAAACATGCGATAATTGTAGTCACTTAACCCGCGCCCCGTAGGGCTACCGGCGGACCCTACCACCCGTAGGGGGGGGGGCCGTTTCGGCCCCCCCCCCCTAAGATCTCCGAAAGTTACCGGCCGATTTTCAAAATTCAAACGGCGTTCGATAGCCCCACCCGGGAACTACCTTGTGACCAAATTTCATTGACCTAGGTCAAACCGATGACGTCACAGGTCAGGTCAAAGGTCAGATTTTCACCGTTCACAGGCAATTCAAGAAATGTGCTGTGAAAGCGAGTAAATTGGTAATTTATTGAAAACCATCGATGGTACATTGTTCGTCAAACACATGCTTTGCTATCTGAGGTCACTGATACCAGGTCAGGTCACAGCGAGGTCAGGTCACCGGGGGTCACAATATGAATGTGTCGTGTGATACATGTTTTATGGTCCATTTTACATGACAAATGCGATTGTGTGGGTTAGGCAGCCTTTGGGGCCAGCCTAGGTCACGTTTTGGTGAAGGTCAGGTCAAGGTCAGGTCAAATTAGGTCAAATTTCAAAGTTGATATTTTTGCATAAAATGGGTATCGATTCGATGCAGCTCGTCACGGGGAGTCTAATGGTTGTCTTCGTTTTGCTCTACGAGTTCTAGAATTGCCAAAAATTGAGTTTGAAAATTTGACGTCATCATTTTTGAACAGTTTTTTTCGCTATAACTTGGCCAAAAAACGAGGTATCGATCTGAAATTTGGTATGTGGATAGAAGACGGTAGGCACTATCACATATATTCCGGTTTTTTCGAAACTCAAAAAACTTTTTGGACTTTTTGGCGAATATATCCAAAAAAAATGCTTTTTTGATTTTTGGGGGTCAAAACTCAAAAATTTCAAAAATTCGAGATAGCAGTTTTGTAGCCCTGTCAATTCTACACCTTTTATGTCTTGATCATTTTTCTGTATCTTCAAAGCTGTAGTCCTGACAGGTCTTCTCGCGAAGGTATTTTTTCGGTCGAAAATGACAGAACATGACGTCACTCTGACGTCATTTGTGGCCAACCTATCATAGCCTCTGTAAAAATTTTTGGTCACAATGTGTAAAATTGATGCCCGGAGGGGTCCTGAAAGTTTGGTGGCGATATCTCCAGCCGTTTAGGAGATATCGACCGAAAAGGACAGGGGGGGGGGCCGTTTCGGCCCCCCCCCCCCCTACGGGGCGCGGGTTAAGCTTCAGAGTATCACTGAGACGTGGCATCCATGTCGTATGGTTTTAGAAATATCTCGAATTTCGGCTTTGCCCCAACTCCGGCATTGCCCCAACTTCCCCTAGCACTATGATAAAGGAAGTTGGCTGCCAAAGTGCCTTTTGTTTGGAAAAATGCACTTTTTTATTTCAGCTCAACTTATTCGCGCGATAATGCACTTTCACTAGCAAAAAATGTCACTTAACGGTTATGGTAAAGTTGGTCGCTGCAGCGCATAGTATCTGAGCTTTAACCCTCGCCGGCACAGGGGGGGGGTTGATGCAGCCCCCCCTAAGGTTTTTCGCAAATAACTCGCGTAAAAAGCGGCCGATCGCGACGAAACTTTCAGTACCCTCGCATTGATCAATTCTACACCTACCCTGAAAATTTTATGACCCTGACCCCAATGACCTTTGACCTGTGACCTCTTTTCTGTGACCATATTTGGCCGAAATCGCGGTTCGGCGCATGTCGGCTCGCATTAGCCGCGCGTTTGCAAGCTTTTCGTGGTTTCAAACGTTCAAACATGTGATTTGATGTTGCTCCCATGCATTAGGGTGGGTGTCAAGGTCACCTGAAGGTCAGGTCAGGTCATTGACCTTTGGTGACCTCGGGTGACCTCGGTTCACTTTTTCGAGTTTTACATGTTTCTAGGCTAGTTTTTGGAGCTGAATTCGAATTTAGCAACCATTTGAACATTTACGAAGTAGTTTTGGTGCCTTCGTAACATGTTACGAAGCTGTCCGAGGCGGTTGACACGTATTACGAATACCCGTCACAACCCCTACCGGTTGACCTGACCTGACCTGACCCGACCTGGTCTAAATGCTTTAAGACATCATCTATGATCAAAACTAACACGATATTCGTGATCAGCACCCCGGAAAACCACATAGCAGCCACACTTTACCACTTTCTAACAGGTCCCGATTTTCCCGGTTTTCGGGTCATTGACCTGACCTGGAAGGTCACCCGATGACCTAGGACCTTAAAATTGGGTATCATCGGCTTCCTCTCGTGACGGGCAACACGCTCGTTTTTTCCGCGAAGCTCTAGCTTGATCAGGGGCCAAACGCGAGGGGGGGTCGTACCAACCCCCCCCCCTTGTGCCGTCGAAGGACTCAAAATGGCCTGTGCCGGCGAGGGTTAACCGGCTGGATAGCTAATTAACCCGCGCACCGACGGGGGTCTGCGCCAACTTAGTACCGACGGGGGGGGGGGCGGATGACCGCCCCCCCCCTGAGATCTCGAGAACGAAGCAAGATAGCGACAAGCGGTAAACGGCATCGGATACGCACGGACAAGGTCTACAATTTTTACAAAGGTCATTTTCAGGTCAGGTCAAAGATGACGTCACAGGGGTCGAAAAAGTCAAAATGGCGGCGCTAGATATGGAGAGGGTTTTTCTCGAATAACTTTCGAAGTAGTCAAGATAGGAACAAACTAAGGGCATCATCGTGATCCTCTCGTCAATCCGCATCGAATGATATATATGTTGACCTCGAAAGGTCAAGGTCAAAGGTTGACCTCAGGTCACGTGACCTCGAGGTCATCATGTATATCATTCGATGCGTCTTGACGAGCTGAACACAATGAGACCATCCGCGCGGCTGTATCTTGTTCCTGTAAGGAGTTATTGGCAAAAAACCTTTGGTGACCTTTGATGACGTCACATGACCTTACAGCTGCCCAACAGCAAAACAGACCTCAAGGTAGTGAAGGTTGATCGTATGTGAAGTCATGTATGGTATATGGGGCCATTCCGACCCGTTTTAGTGGTAAAAACAGGGAGTTGATTTTTCCCCCATTGACTTATAATGGGGAGGTCGCGAAATTGACCTGACCTTAGGTCACCGACATCAAAATTCCGAGATATACAAATTGTAGCTACTAATGACCTAATAACATCCTGCGACTTTCAAAGGCCTCTGACATCTACTGTAGCTCTGGCACGGTGACAAAGTTGCAAAAAAGTGACTTGAGGTTGGGTCATTCAAAGTGACCTGGTGACCTGACCTTAAAAGTTAGGAGGTTCAAACTTGCACACCATGTGTAAAATTGATGAGAGAATAGTCATACCAAATTTCGCGGCGCTACGCGCCGCGGTTTTCCCGCTATCCGCGAAAAACCTAAGGGGGGGCGGATATCCGCCCCCCCGTCGGTGCGCGGGTTAAAACAAATGCTGCAATCTATGAGAACTAAAAAGGCGATTTGTCATTGCCCTCTCATAACCTGAACGGCAAGTTGCGCTAACTTTTTCTCTGATTCTTGGTTTTAATTAAAAAAAGGGTTGAACTGAGGACAAGTTTGACGTAATGAAATTTAATTTCATCAAATTACGGTGAAACTTTCCTTGAATGATTAGTTTCGTACGTGACATATGAGAAAATATATCCTAAAAATAGACAGATGCTTCCACCTCGCGGTATAGCACGGTGTGAAAATTCAACAAAGTAACTGAATTAAACCCACCCACATCCCGGCTACGGGAAATTTCAGAAGGTTCAACCTTTCGGTAGCTCAGCTCTGTGCCTGTGATCCGGCCCCTGAGGGTCAGCGCTCACTCACATATCATGGTAACGGTGACGGTGGCGGAGCGGGGCGTGGCCAGGGGGTGATTAGCTGACCAGCAGGTCAGCACCGCCCCCAGGTCAGCACGGCGCAGCGGGCCCAGCGTCAGCTGATTCTCAGTGGCGCCCTCCTCCGTGGTCGCCCAGGTAGCGTCCACCAGTGCGTTATCGCGCCACCAGGTCACGTTTGGTTGTGGCCTCCCTGAGGGCAGATGTGAGGTCAGGTCAGGGGCCACGTTTGGCTGCAGCCTCCTTGAAATTAGGTGGGAGGTCAGGAGTCATGTTCGGTTTCCACTGACATAAAAAAGCATCAGTAAGGCCGGCTGATTTTTCATAGATTAGCGATATTTTTTAGTGACTGGCAAAGCTAAGAATTTGTTAGATTTGCTTATATTATTAGGCATGTGCTTGGCGTGTGTTTGTGCTAATATCCGTAGTGAATGAAGTTAATTTTCGAGGCTAATAACAGTTGTTATCTAAAATGCTAGCGTTTAGCATAACTAACAGATAACCAAATAACAGACTTCAAGAGCAATCAAATTTGAGGCAGCATTACCTAGCAACAAAATTTGAAGCCAGAAGAACAAATCAAGTGGCAAACATCTAGGTACCTACAGCAAAAGGTAACCATTTTCCCATATTTTTTATTTAGCATATTTTCGTGGATGTTACAAAAAAAACGTTGGCATATTTTCGTTTATCATCAAGTTCATTTTTTACTCTTGATGATGAAAAACCTATAAAAAAAATCTCCATTTACGTGCACCCACTGCGACTAACGCTATCGCTAGCTGGCAAAGAGCCCGGCCCCGGATCATCGACGAACAAAAACACAACATCCATTCATTGTTATGGAGTTAATAGTCATTAGCTTAATAGCTCTGGCTAGTGCGACGTGCTCTGAAAACAGCTCCGACAGTCAGATTGGCCCACGACTGTCAGCTGGCTAATGACGTCACGCGACCCTGCTGACCCGGCCGCCGCCGCCGCACGCCAGCGTTGCCGTTTTTGTTGCCCGGAGAGGAGGTCCGGATGCGCTGCCGCTGTCCGCCGCCGTCGGAGCCGAGTTCATAGTGGCGGAACGGCCGACCATTTGCGGATGCAGCCAGCAGCTGATCGATCGACTGCGCATGTTCGAATGCGCTGAATAATCCAGCGGATATTACCCTTGAGTTAACACCTCCAGAGGCTAGTTTGGAGATTCAGCGTCGTGTTTACTTTTTAGCGAAATTTGTTTTTACGATTTAACGTCCTCCGCCCATGCTCCGATTCCAGACCCGATCAATCTGTCCTTCATCTTCCTTCCTACTCTCGTTCTCTCTCCGGCTGCTGCGGCGAACAGCGGAAGCACGGCCGACCTCGCATTTGAGGGAGGTCTCCGACGGGCCTCTCTCAGCTCACGAGAACCGGATTGTCGACCAGAAGACTTTACAGCCGCAATCAAACGTCCGTCGGTGTAAGGCAGACAGAGCGAGGGGCCGACCGCAGACTGGGAGATCTGAGATACCGGTCTCTGGCAAAGAGGAGCGTCTCCAGACGGTCACAGAACAGGGCCCTCACCGAGCTAGACGGTGGACATTGCGGAGTTAGTGTCGGGTGAGACCCGCATGGTAAGAGGACAGGGCAAAGTGAGATTGTTTCCGACAGCGAGACGGCGGCTGCTACAGAAAGTCAACCTAACGGGGAGTGACAGCTGAACCAGGAAAAGTTTAGAGCCAGCGACCGAGAGGTCATGTGAAAATTGTTTGACTGATTTTGGCATTTCGATGCGTGCATGTATGCATAGAATATAGAAACCAAATCCCCATGCTTTAAAAGCCTTCTAACAGCTTGTCTATTCCATTACATGATACTAATTTGCTATCGAAGTGGTTAAGTGCGAAATAACGTGAGCTGAATTAGATGTTTCATTTGCCACGTCAAAGTTGCTCTCTCGCACCAAACTAGAAGCCATCTCGGCCATCGCCGCAACTGGTCTTGGCGATTCATGTTATCGCCGTAGTGTGGGAAGGAAGCCATCTTCTGTCTGCTCGAGTCGTAGGGCCGCTGAGCGGGTGGGCCGGGCCATTTGGCAAATTGACCCGGCCGATAAAGGCGGACCCATGGTCAGTGGTGGTGAGCTCAAGACGGCCGTCTGCGCCCGCACGACCGGGTTACGGTCAGACGGAGCCCTGCGGACTCGGCCCGCGATCCGCAGGTCGAACAAGGGGTAGATGGACGAGGTCAGGGGTCAGGAGGGAGGTCTGCCAGGGTCAGGTGAAGACCGTGGGAGATCGAAACGTCACTGGTTGGAATGGTTGTGATTGTTTTACGTTTTACAGGCTATCGGAAAATGATGAGTGTAAGACGGTCCAATCTCAAGCTGCCCTACACTTCCCAAAAACGCTTTATTATCATGAATTCCCGTTACATCACAAAACCCAATGAAACCACTAACGATAACGCCTCAAAGTAGCAATGTTTGATGCCTGTACTTACCGTTGGAGGCCACACATAGTAGACGAGTGGTGTCGCCCTCTTTGTAGGGTCCGATGATCCCCTCGCCAGGCATGCGTCCCTGGCCTTCGTATATTGTGGGCGGCTCCGGCGGTACTGTAAAAAAAAAACAGAGTCGACTTATTCAAATTGATGTTCGTTACTTTTCCAGAAACAGCAAGTATTAGGTATTATTAAAAATCAAAACTGCCATTGTCTGCGTAAGTTACAATTCATCACCAAACTACCATTGAATGTATTCTATTATTCTTCTTTCGGTCGAATTTAGTTTCAAGTTCTGTCGATCATTCCGATTTCTGTCATATCTGATTCCAAGTTCTATAGACTGATGACCTCAATTTCGTCTCAGAGACTCGCTGGACTCGGACCGAATGCCAGCCACTGCAAAAGCAAAGAGCGCACTTATCGGCTAGCAGTTATTCGGAATCTGCAGCGAGTCAAATCTTCGCAAATAGTTACGTCTAAAGGCTTCCGCCATAGCTCCTCCTTACGCAAGTAACCTTCCCGACGACAAGAAAAGGCATAACAAGGTAGATGAGAGACGGGTGTTTCCAGCTGCATAAATGGATTTCATCGGTGAAGAGCGCTTTTCACGTCCTTATTCGTCCACTTAAGTTTCCTCATTTACATTCAAATTGAGGCCCAGAGTTTCCAAGCTGAGTGCAAAACTTGGAGACTTTTCTGAAAATATCAGATGATGAGGCCGGCTGCTTCTGTAGCTGAGGAGATACCGCAAACTGCGGGTAGCTGCATTCAAAGCTGAGAGGCGAGACAGAAGCCCCGTTTGGAACATGTGCCGTCATCCTATGTTGATATTTGACAGGTCACCTACAATTACTTACATTGAGCGGTAGCTCAAACACCCGAGGCATGTACTCCCATTGAATGTATTTTACTCTGCTCTGTAATCAGCCCATATGCACCTTTTCTGGATCCTAGTCAGTGTTCGCCTGCTTTGTTCAGCTGCCTGCTGAGGATTTCCGCTTTATAGTGGTACCTAGTATTTGGGATTCAAGCTTATTGCTTCTTTGACCTGCACGCCTGTTCCCTTTATGTTATTAACCTAAAAGGCGGCTCAAAGCGAACTTTTGCACATAATATTTTATCGTGTGGTTGGAATTTCATTTCAAAACATCTTATTCAATTAACATCGTGCTACAAAAGCCAACAAAGAAAGAATGCTCCCGACATTATACGGATTTCTGCGTGAGGTTCATTCATCCCGTAGATGGCGTGGCGATCTCCCAGCGATTGTAGTAAGCAATATTGCTTAGAGTTCCCAAGGGGCTCGCTGAAAAAATGCCAATTGTTTGCATGATTGCGCACTTTTTTGTCACGGAGTTGGCTAAGTAAACTTTGTTTAGATAGGGGAAGGTGGGGTAAGACGGCCCAGCGGGGCAAGACGGACCACCAGCCCTCCCGGCTGAACCGCTGCTGGTATCTACTGCTTTATGCACTCACTATGTTTGTTTTCCTTCGTAACAATGGCCACCTTGAGCTCATGCTGCTAGGATGCATAGCTTTTGAGTTATTGAGAAAAATGTTGTTTTTCGTCAAACCGATCTAATATAAGAGGTCTACGGGTGATTCAATTACGGCGCCTTTCTTGCATGATTAGTTTCTATTTTGCACTTAACTGTGAAGAACAAAGTTATAAACTTAGTTATAGTCACACTTTAGGAAAGGCAAGGTTTTGCAATGTTGGGCTATTTGACATATACGTCATGATAATGACATAATTTAGATTTGGGGCAAGACGGACCACTGTGGTCCATCTTACCCTGTGGTGTTCCATTGTACCCTGCATATGGAAAGTTCTTTTCCAAAACATTGACACAAGTTTAAGTAAGCTAATTTTTTCAGGAAGGAGTCATGCATGCAAGAAGGAGTCTTGCATGCATGTGAGCCATGCATGCAAGTGCTCAGTTAGCATGCATTCATGCCAAACGACAATCAACACACATGTTCCCAGCTTTTAGCTGCACTTCCATCACACATGAGTAAAGAATAAAGGCTCATTTTGTTATTTTACCATTCTGGTTACTTTTTCTTACAAGAGTATAGAGCAGAAGTGTAACACACATGAACGGATAGCAGGCACTGCTGGGTGGTCCGTCTTACCCCACGTTTTTTTCTTGTCTGAGTTTTTGACATGTCCCTCTTTAAGAGCATCCACCACCTAGATGTCTTTAATTTGGAATTTAGTCTTTACACATATCAACAGAGGAAGGATTGAGCATTCCGAAGACTATAAATAATATGAATTACGAGAGCAGTGTAGCAAGATATGCGGCCTCAAACCTTAGCTGGTCCGTCTTACCCCACCTTCCCCTATATATGCCGACGGCCTTAAATCATATTCTATTTTGAATATCGACCGTAAGGTCACATTTTTGTTCTTGCATTCCTCCAAGAGAAAACTTAACCAAAACTGTAAGTAGGGGATAAAAGTTAGCTTTGCAAGTAGCCGTTTTGCATTCCAATGCCCTTTAGAAATGTGCAATGGAGTGGCCTACGGGCTGCGGCGCTGGAAAAGAATACATTGTAACGTACGGCCCTCCAGCAAAAGAGTGGTTGGTTAGCCTATGTGCTTTTGGTGTAATAACTTCGAATGAGAGAGACACTCCTGTAAAATGACTCAATAGAAATGAGAAAAGGGTCATGCACACACTTCGGCAATGGTTATCAACAGCCATTAGACGTATTCGTCAATGCAGATCGCTTATTTTGATGTTGGCAACCAACCACTTAATACATGGAGGGCCGTACAGTCACCAGCACTTGCTACTAATCACCTCGTTTTTGTTCAGTAGTTTGAAGACCGATCAATTCTCAGTCGCGCAAGATACGTCAAATGGTCCGTTTGGTCCTCCGATTTTCGAATATCTAACTTGTTTTGTATAGTCGAAGCATTTTGGGATGGGGAGCCAAAAAACCTCTTTTCTGCCCTAAAGTGTGCCCCAAGAAGTCGTAGAACCTAGCCCCGCCTCTGATCCACAGACCACTAGTGCCATCTCTTGTCAGCCGAACAAACCGCAGAAGTAAATAATGTCACGTGACCTTTGCACACGCTACAATTACTACGCAGCCGTAGTGGGGGAAGCGGGGCGGAGGCGTGGAGAGGGACGCGATCGGTCGGCTGGGGTCAGGTCGCCGAGGTCAGAGGTCACCCGCCGGAGGGTGTTTGAGCGGTTGGGCCGTGTGGGCTGGGGCCTGCGCGGAGCGGGGAGCGCCTGGACCTGTCTGGAAACAAGTCCTACAACGCTGTGGCAGTCGAGAATATTGTGAGGAAAGAGAGAGAGAGAGAGAGAGAGAGAGAGAGAGAGAGAGAGAGAGAGAGAGAGAGAGAGAGAGAGAGAGAGAGAGAGAGAGAGAGAGAGAGAGAGAGAGAGAGAGAGAGAGAGAGAGAGAGAGAGAGAGAGAGAGAGAGAGAGAGAGAGAGAGAGAGAGAGGAGAGAGAGAGAGAGAGAGAGAGAGAGAGAGAGAGAGAGAGAGAGAGAGAGAGAGAGAGAGAGAGAGAGAGAGAGAGAGAGAGAGAGAGAGAGAGAGAGAGAGAGAGAGAGAGAGAGAGAGAGAGAGAGAGAGAGAGAGAGAGAGAGAGAGAGAGAGAGAGAGAGAGAGAGAGAGAGAGAGAGAGAGAGAGAGAGAGAGAGAGAGAGAGAGAGAGAGAGAGAGAGAGAGAGAGAGAGAGAGAGGAGAGAGAGAGAGAGAGAGAGAGAGAGAGAGAGAGAGAGAGAGAGAGAGAGAGAGAGAGAGAGAGAGAGAGAGAGAGAGAGAGAGAGAGAGAGAGAGGAGAGGGAGAGGGAGAGGGAGAGGGAGAGGGAGAGGGAGAGGGAGAGGGAGAGGGAGAGGGAGAGGGAGAGAGGGAGAGGGAGAGGGAGAGGGAGAGGGAGAGGGAGAGGGAGAGGGAGAGAGAAGGAGAAAGAGAGCGTTGCATGGAAAGAATGGGACCAAAAGTCGGCAGTGCCCCCCCCCCCCCCCTTGAAGGTTTTCCGCCGCTACTGAATGGGGATGATGTTGAGGGTCTCGCAAATACTTCATAAAAGAAATGCTATTTTTTGCACAAACTATTAATTTTTTTTGTTGACGTTTGCTATGGTAATGCTAGGCCCAGTTCCTTCAAGATCAGGTCCACGACTCCACAGCTTACAACAGGAGCTTCTGGCTGGTGTAGCCAGTAGAAACACTGTAAGATACAGATATCTCTTGTATTTCGCCACAAAATCGAGACATATATAGTTTTACATACGAACTTACTTATCTAGTATTGCACACATGTTGGCGAGAACATCGAATGTAATAAACGAATACATATGGTTTTTAATATACACATAGCCAATGCAGTTGTCCAAACAATACAGCAGTTTAAGCGAACGGAACGTTAAAAGGGGGACGCACAACTTAATCGAAGGCTTTAGCAATTTAGAGACTGGTAAAAGCGACACCTATTAACAAAACTGTAACTCGCGGTTCACAGCATCTAGCGGCGACCGGCAGAAGTACATGGGCCTAGCGGTGACCGGCAGAAGTAGGTACATGGCTACATCACTGCCCATGACTCGCGCAACGCTTCGAACAGCTCCAACGACAGTTCTCCTAGTGATAAAGCTGAAGTGAGAAGGGGAGCTACTTCATATGCAGATGTCGTGTCATCTACAGCTAAGCGGGAGGAGGAGGAGGACTGGTTGACGATGAGACGTGTAAACGGTAAGCTAAAACCGGTTCCTGTGACTAAAAATGAGACTGCAGCGTCACCCAGCGCTAGTCCTTCCACAGCTGTGGGGAGGGCAACCAACGAATCCTCCGGGAGCGTAACTGGCGCGGCGAAAAACACTGGACTGTTAACAGTGGACAGTAGGTCCCATAGGAGAGCGCACATTTTTGTGTCTAGATTCCACACGTCTGTGTCCCCTGAGATGGTCAAAACTTTCCTGATAGGAAAGCTGGGCGCAGATAGTGATGTTAGAGTTGAGAGCGTTCAAACTCGATATGACACTTACAGGTCATTTCGTGTCAGCTGCAGATGCGAGGAGCCAAACATGCTAATACAGCCAGACTTATGGCCCGAGAACACCTATGTGAGAAGGTGGCGTGGG